GTTGTGTTGTTACAGTTAATATTTTTTGAGCTCACAATTTTTCACATAATGCAAAAACTTTACTTACAGCTGGAATAATCATATAATACAAACATTTTGTATTGCCACTATCATTGTCCCTATTTTGGAAAAAAGAGAAAAAAAATGTGAGAAGTAATTTGTGAAAAGTCATATGACTACTAAGTGATATAGTCAAGAACATTACCTACTGTCTACATTTCATAACCTCCTGTGAATTTGCCTGGTCAGTTCCAGACGTTGTTTGCCCACCCAGGAGACTTTGTCTAGGCAGACAGCAAGATCTTACCACCAAGGAACATGTTCCTCATAGCCGTTAACACACTGGGATGAATTAAATTAAAACATAAAAACTTTGCAGGCTGCAAGAGCCTTTCAGACCATCAGACATTATAAAGTAAATTAAGTGAGAGGGGTAAACTTGAACATTTTTATTTCATAACACTATAAAACTAGAACTATAGGTTTTGTAAACAATTGGAATGTTGGTATATTTATGAAGTATGGGGACCACTATCGAGTTTTCTCCTGAAATACTCCATCTAATCTAGTATTTTTTTAGGCTTAGTGCCAGAATTTTGGTATACATAGTAAATTAATAAAACCCATTTTAGTCATCATTTTTTTCTACATGTTTCGATAGCAAGTTTTTATTTTAGTTTTATTGGCTTTCTGGCTTCATGGTCTAATTTCCATTAATCCTTGGAGATTTGCCTATTGCAAATTAAACTTGAACTCTGGGTAACTGATAATTGTTGAGGTGACAGTTTCCAGTAACTGGGTTCTGCTGGGAAAGAAGAAATTCCTATAACTTTTTAAAATAGGATGACCCTGTGGCTTTGGAAAACTTCTTAATTGAAGACAAGAATTTTAGTCTTCAACAAACAAAACAGAATCAAGATTATCTGAAATCCAGAACTGTAGTATATAGTTATAATGAATGCTGTATTTAAGAAACCAGTAAAGTAAAACATTTTAAATAATTATATTTGATGTTTATTAAAAGGCTTTTTGATCAAGTATGGCAGACTGACATGTAATTCTAAATTACTGAAATTGTAGTATTCTATTCAAGAAAAAAAATGATTTTGAAACAACTGAAATTAAAATTAGATTTATATAGAAAATACTGATTTTTAAAATTTTTAATAATGTGAAATATTCTCTCAAATCATTGCCTTTAATAGATATGCTTGCATAGTTAAGCATAGGTCAAGAAGTATGAGTTTTATTCTTATGAATAATGCAATATATTGAGAGTATAAGTATTAAGTATCCTTTTATTTTTGCCTGAAAAAGGTTGCCCTACTCCCCTAAGTGAACCTAACATAAAACATGAAGACTTTATCATCATAGAAGTGTAATGAAACTGTCCAAATAACCAAGTACAATATAACTACCAGCCCAGTTTATTCCTGCTTTATTTAAATGTACTTACTTATATTAGGAAACACCAAGATTAGTCTTGACAACCCATTGCAAGCATTTGAGACCACTAATTTTTTGTTTTTGTTCACTTTTTTTTCACTTACTAAGTGCTTATTTCCATTTATGTATGAGGAATGGCAAAAAAAATGCAATAAATTATACTGGCAATTTAGAAACTACTAAAGTCAGGTAAAAAAAAGGAATACAAAAAAATTAAAGTTTTTTTCAGTACCATCCTTGCACATTATTTTTGTTAAGACTTGGACTCTAGCGTTATGTAAGATATTTTCAGAGACATCTGTAGACTGCATCAATCTTATATGTGGCTCTCACAAAAATGGACACCTTGAACCACAGGTCTTTTAGAAATAATACAAATGAGTTGTGATACATTTAGTAAATTTAAAGAAATATTTCACTTAGAATAGATGTTTTCCTTTATATTGTTACATAAATCAAGCATTGTGATTATTATTATTCTGTTAGGTATGCGTAAAGGAATATTTCCTCCACAAAACTTGGCACATGGTCTAAAGGAATTTGCTTAATTTAGAAGAAAAAAATTAATTTGCTTACTTTGAACTTAACATAAAATAGACATCTTATATGATTATATGTCAAGTATTACAAGCTGCTTCATATGCTATGTTATTTAAAGCCATACAAATAAACTCTTAAGAATAGAATTCTAAAGTCATGCATTGATGAGAATGTGATTTACAATGAATTGTAAATTGTGTATTTCAAGGAATCACTTCATTTTTCTTTTTCTCAAAATTATAGATTAGCAAGAATTATGATTTTTCAAGCAGAGGAAACCAGATTTCAATAATAGGCTTTGGCGGTGGTTAGCAATCATCTTTGGGTTTGAGTGTCTGAACTTTGTAGTTAGTTCATTAACTATTCCACAGGGTGGCAGTAATATAGTACAAAATAAGATAAGTGAAAACACTATCCTCTTTGACATTTGTGTGTAATAACAATAAATTCAACTAATATATTAATGATTATATATCAAAATATATATTATACACCTATAAAATTAATGATATAAAACTTAATTAATTAAAACGTGAAAATGAGAGCCCAATTCAGTATTGTTTTGCAATCTTGGATCAAACTAATTTATACTGATATTTTCATTGTCACATTTTTCATTTTTCATTTAATAATATTTTAAAAAATTGAAATTATTTAAATTACATTCATCTGAACAAATATAAATTTATAAAATATCAGAAAATGCTGATAATCTATCACTAAATATATACATGCATGTGTCTTTATATGTGTGCATATGTATTTGTATATATAAACATGTGCCCTCAAAAGAAAAATAATCATTTTAAATAATATTTGAAGTATTTTTTAAATATTGTAATTAATAGGCAGTTGTAGGAAATTTTATATGGGAGATTTCATTTGTAATTTTAAAATTTTAATAAACATTGAAAGGAAAACTTAAGGCAAGAGGTTTTAAAAGTATCTATGACAAAAGACAATAAATACTGAGAAACGGGATACAAAATACTCATTTGTATGAATCGCATCAGTCAGAATAATCACCCAGTGTGTCTTTCATGTTGTAAAAATACTTGCCCTTACAAAGGTATGACTATAATTTATTTAGTTTCATTAATTTATTTATTTTGACTGAAAATTTTTCACTGAAAATATTTTCCTAGAGTATTGTTGTAGTATGAGGAAAAACTAGACAAAGCAGTGTCTAACATTCTTTCACATGTAAATTATAAAGGAGAAATTCCCTAGTACTTCCAGTGCATTTGGGTTTTTCCTTTGTTCTGAATCCATTTGACCATTGTTTAAGATATGGCAGTTAAATGGAATTTTAGGAATGGTTAAATATTTTTATTTTTTTCCATTGTAGGTGTAAGCTCAACTATGTAAGCAGTACTATAACAGTAAAATATATAGATAGCTCTGTAAATGTCCCAACTGTAAAATTAAAGAAAATAAGTCTTCATTTTGAGAAGGTGAAAAAATAGAATGAGTTTCCATCTCCTAACATTGACCTGGGACCAGTCATTTGTACTTAAAAATCTGGGTGATTAAAACTCAGATGGTTCTACCAAATGCTTCCTACTTAACCGGTAACAGCAAACCTGGGCGACTTAAGGGTAGTTCACATAAAACTTTACAAGTGAAACAGCAACATCCTCAATGTACATATTGGGGCCAGAATTGTTATGATGTGATCTCTGTGTGGTCAAGACCAGTAAAAGAACAGAGAACAGATGTCAAATCTCTTTTGAGGTTTGTGCTCTGAAATCATGTACAAAAGTTGAAACAGATGAAACAATTAGAAAATGTCAATTCAAACAGACAATCGACATGAATTAGGGAAAAGCTTGTAACATAGTTCAAAACCAGAACAGGAATTCATGGCAAAGGGATTTTCTTTATGTTTATCTTTAGAAAAACTGAAATGTTCAACTTCTAAAGTTGGTTTGCTTGGTTATTTTTGGATAAAATATGTGTTGGTTTTATTGAAGTTGTTGTTAGCACCATATTTATCCTCTATATTTTAAACTATTATTAAATATTTAGATTATCTCACTTGATGTATTAAATATTTGCATATCTTAAAGGGTGATAGTTAATATTCTGATCCTCTTAAAAAATCTTTAGTTTAAATGTATAACCATAATGCTGGTCTTCTTTTATACAAAGTAAAAAAATATAGCTAGCATAATCATTTGTGCACACCCAAAATGCTTGCTAACTTCAAAATAAACTTTGTGAAAGTAGTGAAACCATTACTAAGTAGCACTGTCCTCCCATTGCTCATCAATTTGTTCAAGCGGGCCCAGTAATGTCTCCATTCTGAGACTTCTTGTTACTGTGTTTGGCATATTGAATACGTCAGGGGTAGCTTGCCAGGCTTTGTCATGCGGGCAAGATACCCTTGGTAGTTTGCCTGGCTCTCTGAGAGGGGCGGAGGAATCGAACCTGGGTCAGTCACGCTGGCAGCATGCAAGGCAAATGACCTATCGCTCTGCTATCGCTTTAGCCCCATGGTCATGGGGAGTATGTTTTAATAAAATGGAACAGGTAGTGTTGGATATGACCTGAAAAATGTTATATCTACTCATGAAAACTCAGTCTTCTTGCTACACCCTGAAATGGGAAAGTGCACCTTTTTTTTTTTACATGGCTGGTAACCACCCAGCAGTGCTTGGGGCTTCTTCCTTGCTCTACACTCAGGGATAACTAACAGGGCTCAGGGTATTATGAGAGATGCCAGGGATCAGAGCCCAGGCTGACCACTTGCAAGACAAAATGCCCTACCCACTGTAGTATCTCTGTAGAATCACAATCGCTACTTTTTTATTTAGTAACGTAAGTGTATATTTTGAATAGGTTATGCATTTCCTCCCATGTTTTCCTGAATTCTTTACATGCCTCATTTTTCTTGTCACAGAAATCAACTATAAGATAATTTAATGTATATTTTTACTTGAGGTTTTTTTTTTGTTTTATCATTTATTTCCATGTTTGCAGCCTAATAGACACCTGTGTTTTCAATTCTCCAGGTACGGGTATTTACATTTTCAGTTGGTCAACATAATTATGACAGAGGGCCTATTCAGTGGATGGCATGTGAAAATAAAGGTAACAGTGATTTTTCTTGACTACTTCTTAGAAAAGAAAAAGTTAGCAGTTGTCAGTCCTTCATTTTACTTTTGAGAATAATAGAACAATCAAAACAGGAATAAGATGCTGAGTTTTCTAAAGAGAAAACACAAGTTTTGACATTAGTTGTACAGTATATAAATATTTGGACACCCAGTCACTGCACGTTTGTAATGGAATATAATTCATTGGATGGTACTAAGTTGCATTACCAAATATAATGTTAGTTTATAAAAAGAATGAAAGGATACCTAAATTTTATAAAACTAAGATATAAGCAAGTGTAATATATATGTACATTTTTACTCTGAATGATTACATTAAACATCTTTATTTAAAATGTATCTATATTTCTAGGTAATTCATACTTTGTGTACTAATACCATATTTTCTCTGTAGTCCAAAATAGGTGTTTTGGGGCTGGAGCGATAGCACAGTGGGTAGGGCGTTTGCCTTGCACTTCGCCAACCCAGGTTCAATTCCCAGCATCCCATACGGCCCCCTGAGGACCGCCAGGGTTAATTCCTGAGTGCAGAGCCAGAAGTGACTGCGCATTGCTGGGTGTGACCCAAAAAACAAAAAAAGAAAAAAAATAGGTGTTTTAAAGATTTTTTGAAGATTATATTTACATAATATTTTATGAGAATAAATTATCAGATACTCATCATTATGTATTTTTAATTTTTCTCCAATGAAAATTTTAATGATACCAGTTTCCGTACTGCTTTATAGATAACATTTATTTTATACTGTCTAAAAATGTACCAAAATTTCTAATTGTATATGTATTTTTCAGGTTATTATTATGAAATTCCTTCCATTGGAGCAATAAGAATCAATACTCAGGTATGGTTAATTTAAGCTTATAACTTCAAAGAATTAGGTTTTTTGAACTTTAAATATACTAAATAAGGGGGCTGGAGTGATAGCACAGCAGGTAGGGCGTTTGCCTTGCACGTAGCCAACATGACCGACACAGGTTCGATTCCCAGCACCCCATATGGTCCCCTGAGCACTGCCAGGAGCAATTCCTGAGTGCATGAGCCAGGAGTAACCCCTGAGCATCGCTGGCTGTGACCCAAAAAGCAAAAAATAAATAAATAAGTAAATAAATAAATATTCTAAACATAAAGGAAAATAGGTGAAAACTTAAAAATATGATACATAATATAACTGTAACAAAATTAAATCATGATAATGTATTGATTTTTGTTTCAGTGATATTCGAACTGTTTTAAGCTCTTTGAAATCTACAAAACATATATGAAGAAGTGAGAAATTATTCTTCTCATGTTAAATAAACTCATAGAAAATAAAATAAAGATAATATCATCTCAAGTGTTTTAGTACAAACTTGTTTTTAAAACAAGTTTTTAAAACAAGGCTAGAGAGATAGTGTAATAGTTAATGTGTTTGCCTTACAAGTTAAAACCAATTTGATCCCAGCAATACAAGGACACCCAGAGCAATTCAAGAAGTAGCCCTCAGGCTAAAACCAAGTTGGTGATAGCTCCTGAGCACCATCCATCAGGGCCCCAAGCCCTCCCTCCTCCTCATAAAATTTAAAATAATTTTTTTTTCTTGCCAATCATTAAAATTTGTTCATCAAGTCATAGGTAACATATATAAAATCCAACAATAAATTATATAGGACCCTAACCACAATTTAGATATCCTGTATAGACTTACATGCCTGTTTAAAATAAACTTAATACAAGGAGATGATTTTTCTATAACCTTTTACTTGAAAACTTTCCCCTTAAATAACTTTGTAGATTAAAGCAATTAAATCCATTTATATATATATTATTTTTAAAAAATCATAAATTACAATTTCATATCATTACTCAATTTTAAGCAACAGGCTCTACAAAAGAGACTAAGTCAACATTTGGCATAAATATCATGGCGTTTGTGGAAATGAATACTGAATATGTTGAAATGAAACAGCAGCTGTATTTGAGTCTGATGTCTAGAATTGGCACAGTATTTCATTTATTTTTTGATATGTTTAAATGTGCTTTTGAATTTCAGCCAAAAATCTGTGATATGAGAGAAAGTATTTAGCTGCTTTATTATTTTAATTTTGTACAATTCCATCGAGTAAATCACAGAACCTTACATAGTTTAGATTAACACAAAACAATTCACAAGGAACATATTTCACTTATCATTGGCTGTGCCTCAGTAAGAGAATGTTTTGGTTGTTACTAGGGAAAAAACTGAATAGATATATTGTATAGATAATATAAGTCAAGTAATGTGGATTCAAAGTATGTGGACATACCAGTTATGGAATATCAAAAAGAGAAATCAAGGGATCATATAATTAGCTCTCAAAAATTTGTATCCCATATTCATTTCAGTGCTAGATTATTTTTATAGATATATTCTTCTTTAACCTAGCATTGCTGATTTTCAGCCACTTTTAATTCTTAATAAACAGGAATATTTGGATGTTCTGGGAAGACCAATGGTTTTAGCAGGAGAAAAAGCTAAGCAAGTACAATGGACAAATGTATATTTGGATGCATTGGTAAGTGGTGGCCGTTCAACTGAAGACTGTCATCATAAAAGTACACAGCTCCCTTCAACATTCTTCCTACATTTCTTAAAAAAAAAAGCAACCTTTTCTTAAACCTTGCATCATAATATTTTCAAAAGATTTTAGATAATTTTCATAAAAACCTAATTCATATGTATAAGAGACCACTAATGTAAACTGTTATTTTTGCTTATTAATCCAATGAAAATACAGACTTTTCAATGGAGAATCTTGCCTTTTACTATTTTCCAGATTGTTTATGTCAAAAAAAATGTTAAAGATCACATGAATTAGTACCCTTTGCTATAGATTTTGAGCAAAAATTTAAAGAAAGTGTTGTTAAGTAGATTTCAGGCAGCAGCAGCATGTATGACCTCTGCAACTCAAATAAAACCCAGTGAAACTTTAAAAATACATGCATTTAAATGGGCAAAAGTCTTATTATATCCTGAAATTATTGCCAACATAATTTTTTCTTTATGTATCATTCCTAACTGTTTAGGCTCAACCCCAGAAATATATGAAAGAAGTTAATTAAGCTGATCAAGTCATATAAAATAATAAACTTTTTAAGCTATTTTCATTTGTACATAGTTTTAATATAGGTATTCTCTAATATTTTACAGTAGTACTTTTCAGTTGAGGGTAATGTTTGCCCCACAAGTTATTTAAAAATAATTTATGGATATATTTTATTGTTATCACTATAGTGGGCAGAGCTACCCACTAACATATATAATGTATAAAAAATGTGAATAGTGCTAAGTATTTCCAATGCAACTTCCTATCCCCAAACATATAACAAGATATTCAATAGGAATAAAATAGATAAATCTTGTTTAATATAATTTTTCCTTTGGGGATATGAAAGTCATAGAGAATATCATGCTTAAGACTTATTTATATGCTTAATCTTAATTAGAGGACTTCTTAATGATTTTACTATTGTAATATAAATAATCAAAATACTAAGTCCTGGAAAGTGTAGGCTGGTTGAATAACCCTTTTCCTACTTGGAGTTCAGTTATATGCTGATAATACTTTTCTAAATGCAATGATGAACCCAAAGGGCAAAATGCAATCCATTTAGAAATACTTATCATTTGGTTCTTGTAAAATAAACATATACAGGAAGTTAGAAGAAAAATAGACACTATTAGCAATAGTCTTGCATGCTAAGAAGATTAAGTGAAGCTTGCTTACCTCAAGTCCTAGCTAGAATTACTGTCCAGTGTGCCTTCTTGACATCACATATTTATTCAAGGTCACATGGTCATCTGAAGTTGTGGTCACAATGTTTCTCTTTTCCAAATTCATCACAGGACAGAGTATGATAGGAATAACCAATAATTATGCCTTGTATTTTCTGTGACCAGAAGTTCATTAACCAACATGTTTGCCTTATGGTAAGGTTCTTACTGATAGCAAAAATAACATTAGGGAGTAATTTTATTTTTAAATATTCTGTTCTTTAATCTGAAACTAACCATTAATTTCTTTTTAAAAGATACACATGAAAGGGTGTTCACTGGATGTGTAGAATATTTGGATGAAAAGATTTTCATCTTATATATTTATAATCTCATCACATAGAACATTCAAAATCAAGTGAACAGTAATATTCAAAATGAAAAGGCAAACATATCCTAAGTCAAAATATAGTAAATAGAATGAGAAAAAAATGAAGAGCTCCTGAATTTTTAAGGGTAAAAAAATGGTAGAATCATACCTGAACATATAAATTCGGAGAGTCCTCCTACAATTGATGATAAATGAGATCACACAATGGAGGTGAATTATAAAAGCTGGAGCAGAGGTTGGTATATTGAAAGAAGTTTACCTCAGTCACTTTTCAGATAGGGGAAAAGAAGGAAAAGATAGGACAGTATTGTGAATAATTACTATTTGTAGACATATTTTACCATCTTGACATTTTAAAAATATGCACATTTCTCATAATTCAACAAAATGAATCTTTTAAAACTTATCTATAGGATACTAGTTTTTAGAAATTTAGCACTATTTATTTTTAATTAAAATTTAATTTTCCAGTGTTTTTGCTTAGAATTAAATAGTGCAAATATTTGTATCGTTCTACAAGCAACTACGAGTAGTTGTATCTTAGATTTTATTTGTAACCAACAATTCATTGTCTTGTGTGAAAAGCCTTTCTATGATTTCCCTTCCTCACAGAGTTAGTTTGCCTTAAGATTTCCCCCCATTACAATTATAAATCATTGCTTCAGATATTTTCACTGTGAGACTTTGTTGTTTCTGGAATATGAGCAGAAGTCATAAAATTTGAATTTGGGATCATTATTCACAAAAAGATTACTAATGTTTTATCAGTGTGACAAATTTGAAGTTTTCAATAATATTTTTTAAAAGTGCATTACAGTTATTTTATTAAAATGTAGTCTTTGATATGAATAAGTGGCAAATATATATGTAAACAGTTTTATATATATATTAATTGTTGCAGATGGCAAACAAAGGAAGGTGTATAATTTGAAGAAATTTTCTAATACAGTTTAGCTGTTGCTGAATGCTTCAAGGCTACTAAAATAGATTCTTATTATGTCTAAGACATTTTCAATTAATTTTTAAAATGTACTTTCAAGATATGTATAAATCTTTTTGTGACTATAAGATAATTACAAAATTCAGTATTGTATACTAAAATCAAAAGTGTTTTGACAAAGTTTAATTATAAATTAATTTGCCTTTTCTCTGAATCTATTTTTAGGAATTGGGACTTGTCATTACTGGAACTCTTCCTGTCTTCAATATTACTGGCCAAGTTGAAAATAAGACAAAGGTTGAAAGTTGATTGATATAATTAATAATAATAAATGATAAACTACAATGTTGAAACATAATGTGGATAAGATAATTCTATAAGAAAAAAATATACAAAGTAACTGTCTTCTGAGGCCAGAATGAAATAACAACAGCTGCCTTTGTGATAACCACCTGGGAAAAAGGAAATACAAGTCAAGTTCTCTGTTTCCCTAGAGCCAAGATTCAACTTAACTCTATTTAACTATGACCTGATGAGAACACAAATTCTGACTCTGAGAGTAATTATATGATAAAGAAACTATTTTGCACATATTTTGTAAATGCATCTAATATGCATATGGAATTCAGAAAGGGGAAAAAACCTGAAAGTAAACCATGGTTATGTCTGTACTTGAATTTAATTTGAGGATTTAAGTAGTTCTTGATTTTTTAAGATTCAGGGGACAAGATGTATAAGTAGCTTTATTTTTACATATGTATTTTTACATATGTATTTTTACATCTGTGCATTAAAGAGTTGCTACCATAAAAGTTCTGAAAACAAAGAACATGAGAACTGGAATTCAGTAGGAAACATGCCACTTAGTGGGGCTGAGAGAGAGACCAGGGAGAGGGCAGTATCTATGGTAGATGGAAACACTCAAGTGGGAGGAAAAGGTGAGGCTGAAAGGTGATCAAGTGTTTTGTATGAAACCTTATTAGTACTGTAAACCACCATCCGAAAACATATTTGTAAGGGGCAAGTGGGGAGAGCTTCTAGTCGAAGCCAACTGGTGGGTGGAAGCAAATAAGATTGGTTAGAGGCAGGAGAGTGGGGCATTACTGGAAGGAAGTGGATACTGCTTGAAGAGATAGATGTTCAAACATTGTATGCCTGAAAACTCAATAACGTCACAACTTCACTAATTTATTTTCAGTTCTGAAAATAATGTTGATTTCCATTTAAAATCATTTAATGTTTTGTTTTAAAATAGTGTTGCATCGCTGCTTTTTAACTTGCATAGGAAAAATTAATGCAAGGAAAATTAAGACTTTTAAAAAGTTTACCACTTTTTACATTTTTCTTGACATTCCTGCATTAAGGTTAATTTCTTTCCGGTTTATGGCATACTGAATGGTAGAGTAAAGTCATTGCACTTACACTTTATTTGTTCAGTTATTATAAATTTCAGTTTAATTTCTTATTTTATTGTATGACAATAGAAAGTGTTGATTATTTTCCTTGGATGCTCAATTCTATTCTTAGCTAATTGTGGGTTCAAAAAACTAGCTCTTAAAGGGGTAGTTCTACAACACTCATATAAACTTTAGAGTGCTTTAATATGAACATTTTTGTCTGCTGAGAGTATACCCACATAAAAGGGCAGTGATTTTTTGGCAAGGATCGGGGCGGAGTGTGTCCCAGTTGTGCTCAGGGTTTACTCCTTGCTCTGCACTCAGTGATTCGTTGTGGCAGGCGTGGGGATTGTGGTGCTAGGGATCAAACCAGGGTTCACCTCATTCAAAGCAAGGTTGCCACCCACTGTCCTATTTCTCTAGCCCTAAAAAGTATAGGTTTTTGATACAACTTTTTTACATTATATTTACTAACACATGTTTAGTGTTCTTTACAATAATTACTAATTGGACGTTATACTTTTTGTACACATTATTTTATAATTTGTATGATTTTACTTATAATTAAAATTTCTGTTCTAAATTTTGAAATTATTTCTATCTTTGCATCTTATAGAGAATAATTTGCCACGTAATTTCCTTTACTTAAAAGAGAACCCATGATACTCTTCATTTCGTTTTTGGAAGTCAGTGGCAAACAGCAGTATTTTGAGGATACCTGCTATTTTATTTAGAGTTTTTACTTTTACTTTTTATCACATATATGTCATGATTGTTATTCATATACAGATATTTTCATCAACAGCAAAAATTCATTTGTTTCTTAATCCACATTGCCTATAATCTTTAGTTGGTAAGGCGTCTACCTTGTACTGTCCTCATACTGGTTCACATTATACATAATAGTACAAGAGTTATTGGGTACATTGTTATATCTTTTACACATTAGCCTAAATCTTTAAGATTTTACTTGTGGGAGAACATTCAGATAAGACTCTTGAGATTATGAAATACTGAGCTGAGAATATGGAATACACAATTGTCAAATGAACATATAAAATAAGGTTTTTGGAAACATGCAATTTTGAAATAAAATACTATTTTTGCTGTTTGTAGAACCAGCTAATACTTGGTGTGATGGGAATTGATGTGTCATTGGACGATATTAAAAGACTGACACCACGTTTTACAGTAAGATATTGTTTATTCTTTTGAGAGGAGATGGGAGAGTTGGGGCCACACAATGTTGCTCTGGGTCTATTCTTGGCTTTGTGCTCACTCCTGTGCTCAGGAGTGATCTCTAGTGGAGCTCCGCGTTCATAAATGGTGCTGGGGATCCAAACCATAGTTTGCATGATACAAGGCAAGTGGCTTAATTCCTGAACTATTTCTCCAGTTCAAGGTGCAGTTTATTCTTTGGCATCTTTTCAATTTTAAAACTGTGTTAATTTAACCTAGTCAAAAAGCTATTAAATAACTGTAAAAAATGAAATAATTCTGTGGACTTATTTGAAAGGACCCTTAAAGGATTTATTTATAAAACATAAAGGTACCATATATTCCTAAATTAATTACCATATTAAAATGTGTGCTTAATACTTCTTTTTTGGAATATAGATTTATGTTTTATTTCATGTATTTCTAAGGTATTTTAATTGTTTTTCAGCTGTGCCCCAATGGCTATTATTTTGCAATAGATCCTAATGGTTATGTTTTATTACATCCAAATCTTCAGCCAAAGGTAGGTATATGTAGTGATTTGTGTTCTAAAAACTAAGTGATAAAGTTTTTAAGATTGTCTTTTCACAACTCACTATATAGCATAAAACAGGGGTTCCTGAAACATTGATGATAAGATCACGCCTTATGAGATTTGAAAGTGTAGAATCAGTTTTATTTGGTACCAAATTTGCTTGCAAATATTCCTACCCACCATTTAGCTAACTTAAAATTTAGTCAATACTACTTACTGTGCTTGAGTTTGATATATCCTATTTGGAACTTCAAATCTATGAGGTAGTGAGAGATAGTACCTACATGAGTTTGAACCTGTTTAAAAATAATGTTTCTCTGTGCACAGATGAAATTTTTCATTACCCTTTTCTTCTGGCAGTAATTGCCATTACAGAGTGTTTTGTAGTTTCAGGCTGACTTTTATTTATTTTTTTATTTTATTTATTGAACCACCGTAAGAAAAATTACAAAGCTTTCAGATTTAAGTCTCAGTCATAAAATGATCAAATACCCCTCCCTTTGCCAGTAATTCTTTTTCATCAAGAACCCCAATATACCCCCTCTTACCCCTGCTGATGCCTGTGAGGCATATGATTTCTACTTAACTCTCTCTCTACTTTGAATACATTCATTATTTCAACAAAATATGCACCATTATTGTTTGGAATTTTCCCCCAACAATCAGAACTGCTGAAAAGGCATTGTGAAATAATTTGTTTTCTATTGCTGGTTATGAAAACCATAGTGGCTGCATGATTTTGGATTTCTGATATTTTATTAATAAAGTCTGGGGGGATTTCTGCCAAGAGCCAGATAATTACAAGATTAGTTTCTGTGTGTCTGGTGCCATGACCATGCTGGAGAGCTGCATCTCATGACCTTGGTTGGGCCTGAAGAATGAGCTGGTTCCGCCCCCCTTCCCATGAGGCTGCAATTGCCCCATCACCGCCGGCTCATGCCTGGCTTTCCAATAAACTCTGAGGCGGTGGCAGAGTTTAACGCATAGTCCATTCACGTTTCTGCTGCAAGCTTCTTGGCTCTGGATTAGGTCCACGTGGCTCTGGTGCCATGGCCGTGCTGGAGAGCCGCTCATGGGGGGCAACTCATGGCCTCGGTTGGGCATGAAGGATGAGCCGGTCCGCCTCCCTTTCCATGAGGCTGCAGTTTCAGGCTGACTTTTAAAGGCCTGCATGACATTTGTTAAGTTAGAAATAGAAAATGTTTGCTCATCAGTGAAACTCTTTTTTTTTTCGGGGGGTTGATGGTTTGGTTTTGGTTTGGTTTAGTTTTGAGGCCACACCTGGCAGTGCTCAAGGCTTACTCCTGACTCTGCTCATAGATGATCCCTGATGGGGTCTGGGTACCATTTGGGATACCAGGGATCCGATCCAGGTAGGCTGCATTCATGGCAAGGACTTAGACTATCTGGTTCCCACTGGGTCATTACCAGAATTCACCTTTCTAACTGCCTGAAATATAGCCCCACTTAAGATTTCACCCCTAAATCTTAAAGGAATATATATGGATAAAGGTCTGTCTTATATAACACAGATGTTGATCCCTCTGCATTTTTATTCGAAGTATTGTTATACATGGGTACAAACATTTTTTAAAGCATTTTAGTTTCTGTGACAGGTTATTTTGGTTTGGGGTTTTGTTGTTGTTTGTTCGTGGATCATACCTGTTAGTGCTTAGGGCTTACTCCAGACTCTTAGTTTAGAGATAATCCTGCTGGTGCTCTTTGAACCGTTTTTGGTGCTGGCGCTCAACCTAGATCAACCATGCAAGGCAAGTGCCTTACTCACACAATATTATCTCTGACCCCTGTATTCATATGTATCTTATATTCCTATGTAATTCAACATTGTATTGATATTTAAGTGTTTTATATTCATGTTGGGCTGGAGCAATAGCATAGCAGGTAGGACATTGCCTTGCATGTGGCCAACCTGGGTTTGATTCCTCCATCCATCTCGGGGAGCCCAGCAAGCTACTAAGAGTATCCTGCCCTCACGGCAGAGCCTGGCAAGCTCCCCATGACGTATTCCATATGCCAAAAACAGTAACAACAAGTCTCACAATGGAGACGTTATTGGTGCCCGCTCAAGCAAATCAATGACAGTGCTACAGTGCTATATTCATGTAATCCATATAGGATTAATCATTTGACAAAAATTTCTTCTTTTCTGTTTTTTTCTTGCTACATAGAATATACTTTTTTATCATTTAACATTAATGTATCTGACTCCTAGTTGAAAAAATAAATTTAATAAAATTTATAAAAGTACAATGAAAATATGTTAAGCCCCTTACTAATCCCTGCTTATTTTTATCTAAATTATGTTACCTTTACATAGTTTCAGTTCGTATTTTGTAATAAGCAAGTGTTTTTCAGGTACACATTGGAAAACCAATAAAAATGAATGTCTGAAAAATAAGTGCATTTTGGGCTGAAATAAATTATTGTGAACTAAACATTGCTATGAATTTCATCATTAACATATTTCTGTTTTGTGGGTGATGTTGCATACTGTAGATACAAATAAATATAAACATTTTATAAACATGTAATATAAGTTATTTAAAATTTTGACAGATACTGTATAGTATCTAGTATATGTGTAAACTTAATCTTAATTATGTTATCATAAATTTATAAATATAAATAGAAGAGTATCACAATTTTCCATAAAATAGATTGTTAATTTACAAGGTGAAAGTCTGTTTATGTGTGGATTCTTTGCTAAATGCTCTGTATTTCTTCCAGAAAATCAGTCTAGATATATTTTAACAAAATCTTGTAATTTGTAGAAGGTATTTCTGTAAAAGTGTATATCAGTAATCAAATAGTAGCACTGCACTCTCCTCCCGTTTTTCATCGATTTGTTCAAGCGGGCACCAGTAACGTCTCCATTGTGAGACTTGTTACTGTTTTTGGCATATCGAATAATGCTACAGGAGCTTGCCTGTCTCTGCCGTGAGGGCAGGATACTCTTGGTAGCTTGCCGGGCTCTCCGAGATGGATGGAGGAATCGAACCTGGGTCGGCCACGTGCAAGGCAAACGCCCTACCCACTGTGCTCTTTGCTCCAGCCCAATCAAATAGTAATGTCCATATCAGTAATCAAATAGTAATCAAATAAATTCCTAATGACTTTAGGAAAACAATTGTCTTTTTAAAATATACTCAGTACCATGAAAACATTTTGACAAGTACATTGTATGTCCTGCTTTATTTCAAAAATGCATTTTACATTTTTTTCATGAAATTTTATTTGTTCAATGAGCGATAGCACAGTGGAGAGGGCATTTGTCTTGCACACGGCCAAACTGAGTTCAGTTCCTCAGCCCCTCTCGGAGAGCCCGGCAAGCTACTGAGAGTATCTTGCCCGTACAACAAAGCCTGGCAAGCTACCCATAGCGTATTCAATATGCCAAACACAGTAACAAGTCTCACAATGTTACTGGGCCCGCTTGAGCAAATCAATGAACAACGGGAGGACACTGACAGTGACAGTGAAGAAATATTATATAAGAAATGCGTACCATCTGTGTTTTGAAAGTCAATACTTTTATAAAAATCATGGTGATATGATTAAATCTTTATTAATTCTACAGATAAAACTTTTGATATAACTCTAAAAAACAAAGGCACGTATTTCAAGATATTTAGATTAAGACTGTAGAATCGTCTGTAATTTTTCATTCTAAAACTTTGACGAAATGTTACTTCTAAATATTTGGTTTTTCGTGTTTTTATATTTCCTGGTGCAAACCATATTTCCTAAATACATGTACATATTGGCAAAAAAATAGAAACTTTTAATATTTTAACTAGTCTGGCATTTTTCACTGAAAATATTTTAGAACTCTCCATCATCAATCTCAACTCACTGACACCTCTTCCTAATCAAGGAACTATCTGATAAAAATTGATAAAGGGAATAGAGCCCTAAGTTCTCATTGATGTGTAGTATGATGATTTACCATATTTCTGTTACTTCAGCCTATTGGTGTAGGTATACCAACAATTAATTTAAGAAAAAGGAGACCCAATGTTCAGGTAACTGTGAATGAATTGAACAGTGTCTTCAAATCTGTTGAATCAGAGTTGAGATTAAGCTTTTCTTTCTACAAGCATATAATTAATGCTGCCTTTCCTGACATCAAGCTTCCAAAGCATGAGGTGGAGAAGAGCATAATTTCTCAATAAACTGGAGCAAAAATACTATTAATGGCAGAAGTTATGCATTTGCTAACTAAAGATTGCTAGCAAATAATAATGATTTTAACAATCAGGGTGATCATAATGAGATGGCTTCTAAAATAAAGTTGTTTAATATTGTGAAATTAATGTCCAATCCAGATAATCTAAACTATTTGCTTATAAAATTAACTTCTAAATAGAAATAAGTATACAATCCTGATGTGATTATTTCTATAAATCGCAAACTTTAAAACCTACATTTTTAATGTTATATAAATTTAGACTGATAGTTGAGAAATATTTCTTAAGTAGTTTAAATGTCTAAAATGGCAGATAAGTATATAAGTATTTACTGCTCGCCTGAAAAACAGGAGAAAAAATTATTTATCTATTGAATAGAAATGTGAATATAATGCTACGTATGTTTGTTTGAGCACACTAAAAGTAATTCACATAAAGGAAAAGTCCTAACAATTTAGTACAGTTAGCTGTACTAAAAGAATTTCAGATGAAGGATAGTGATTTAACACTTAATATATGAAACTATCATTTCTTTTGTAAAAGTTAATGTCGCTGTATTGGAGAGGAAGTATGATATTTAGAAAAGATCATTAAAGCTATTCATAGAACTCAGTTCTTGGTTCTAGATATAACATTGTATACTTGAGAACTTCAAAAACTCAACAGTACTTAAATTTCTTATCTAAAAATATAAATAGTGAACTATGCAATCCTTATGTTCTACCCTTGACACTGTCTTCACCTAGGAAAATCAGAATTTTCTAAGATACACACACATCACAATATAAACTGGTTTTTGATTCTATCTAAAATTTTGTATAGTTTTGCCAGAACAGGCATAAATATTTATGAATAGTTTTTAATATTCCTGTTAAAAAAACAAACCCCCCCCCAGTCAATTCTAAAATGCAGAGTCATCAGGTGCTTCAGTGTTCTGTTAATATTAGAATTCTTTGACAATCAAAATTCCATATTGTTATATCAGTCCTCCTATATTTTATATTTTTGTGGAGGTTAAAATCGTGTTTCAGCCTTTTACTGGTATATTAAATTATTTTATGTCTCTACTTTGCATGTTTCTTGTCTATTATCTTAAATTATGTATTTTGTAGTCATGTACATTGTAGTAAATACTTTTGCTGTACCTTCAAAAATTGCATGTAAACGTTATGATGTAATTTAAAAATAAACAACCTGAAAAATGGTTTGTTTTATTTTTATTTTCTTTCTAAGAAAATTCTAAATGGCAAACTAGCTAGTAATCACACACACTAAATTTGGGGAGGTTTTTTTGACTTCTGGTTATTTATAATAATGCTATATTATTTATCCAAACAAATTTTGTAAACAATGTTTCTTTTTGTCTTTTATTTTAGTTCCACAAATGTTGTGACTATTATTTCAATTGGTATGCCAATTGTAAAAAAGAGAAATGTAAGATATTTTAATATCATATGAACGTTTTAGGAGTGTGGGAACTGGATTCCCATTCTCAAGTCTCTTTTGATGCATTATTAGAAAATTTTACTTTGGAAAAAATTATCAGCTAGATTGCCATTTAAAAATTAAAAGTTATGCATTCGATTTTTCTTTCATGATTTCATTTTCTTCTCTGTGTTTATATGTTGGATTGGGACATGATCGTCATATTGACAATTCTTCCTGATAATGCCTCCTCCCTGCATGCTGTTTGGGTCTGGTCATGCTATGCATTATCCATTGCATGTAAGATAATATTATTTATGTTTATATCTTCATTTTTATTATTTTGGCTTTGTTTTAGTGTTTGTTAGAAATTTAATGCTAGTATTATGGCACCTACATTAAAATTATTTCTTAAATGGATTTCTTTTATTTAAGCAATTCCGGATAATATTAGTTTTAGAGTAGTCTACTTTCATGAGATTTTCTTGATTTAATTTTTGGATTAAAGAATTTGATATTTTATATATTCGGTTTTCTTATTATAAAGTATATTAATTTTAAAATAAGTAGTTAAAATGAATAGTAGGAGCAGTAAGGTCCTGTGCAAACAGTGACCACATGTTCATCTATTATACAGTTCATGTATTTTACAATCTAATAGTAATATCCAGTAGTACAGAGATTTCTGATTATAGTTTGATAAATGAATCTTCAATAAAAGTGCCAGATATAGTTGAGATTATATTCTATGTGTGGATATTTTAGTCCCTTTTCTGTGATCTTGTGATTATAAACATAGCATTTAATGAAGCACTCAACACGAAACTATTCAGTTGGTTAGTTTGTCTTAATGCATTTGCTCTAATTCATAGATTATTTATTATTTAAAAATAATTATGAAAGGATATCACTTTATACAATTTGTCAGCTTCTTAATGTACATTAGGTAAGTAAGAAATATATCATTTTAGTTATTTTATATACAGCATCATTTTACAATGTTATGTCTGCTTAATAATTCTTTTGTGTATGTAGAATCCTAAATCTCAGGAGCCAGTAACATTGGATTTCCTTGATGCAGAATTAGAGAATGATATTAAGGTGGAGGTAAGTGTAACCACTAGGTCTAAGTAGTACCTTCAGGCTGGATACCATTATTCACCGATCCTACAGGTATCTGTTGAGTAACTTCATTAGATTAACCTCTTTCCCAGATACTGAGTACACGAAGATAAATGATATTTTTGTTAAAGTTTCTAAACCATGGAATCTCTCCCCAAAAACTGCATAAAAAGGAAGAAATAATCTAAGTTGGGTGTTACAGTAGTGTTTTGTTCTCTTTCCACAAATAAAGATATTTTAACTATTTTAATAAATAAGTTTATGAATTAGAAAAAAATAGAAATTATGGATATGGCTATAGTATTGAAAAAAGAGTTGTAGAGGAATCCAGCATCCTAACTATCCAGTGAGCTTGGGGAGGAGAGAAACTACCATGTATGTCTTACTAAATTTTATTCCAAAAATTTTTATTTTAAAATAAAAATTATATTTCACATGATTTTGTGAAATATATAAAATCATAAAATCCTCTAATAGAATCTGTTATTATAAGAAAATTATAGTAATAACATTCATTTAAGTGAATTATGTTTATCAGTCTTGGGATCAAGCATATTCCAAATATGTAGGGCTGGAGCGATAGCACAGCGGGTAGGGCGTTCACATTACAAGCAGCCAACATGGCCAACCCGAGTTCGATTCCTCCGCCCCTCTCGGAGAGCCCGGCAAGCTACCGAGAGTATTCGATATGCCAGACACAGTAACAACAAAGTCTCCAATGGAGACGTTACTGGGCCCGCTCGAGTAAATCGACGATCAATGGGAGGGCCTTTACCTTTACCTTTACCTATGTATATTTTATTATTTTTGAATTTGATATTTTTTTACATATCTTGATAGTGAAGTGTTTAATGTGAAGAAATGTTAAATAGCTTGTCTTCAGTTACTCAGCTAGTAAGTAGCAAAAGTAAGATTCAAACCAGCTACTTGGCCAGAGAGATTTTTTTAAAAACTTTCATACATTATAACTTGTCTTTTCCATACAAAACCATCATTTATATTTATAACCTTTCAAAAGGTGCTTTTAGTACTTAATTTGTATATTTTATTCTACTCATTGTGAATAGTAGAATTATTATACTTCTGTGAGGCATAATGGGGGAAGGTTTGATGATTAATAAAAATTCTGATGACATGTTGATTTAGTAGTAATATAATGATAAAAAACTAGTCTTTGGACTCAGTCATCACAGTATCACTTAATATCAAGCTAATTCACTACAGTAATATTATTTGTTCTCTTTTGTTTTCCTTCAATTCCATAAAGTTAAATTGATCCATTTTTAATTTATTACTTAATATCAATACTAAGTCACTGCAGCAATATTATTTTTATTCTCTAAGTCTGTTTTCCATTGGTTATATAATTATCGATCAAATTTTTATTTATTGCATCAAAAATTAATCACTGGTTGAAATTTTTTAAGCTGTATTCATAATTTTATAATAATATAATTGACTATATGCAACTTTCAAAAAATATTTCCAGAGGACAAGTGAAATTACTGGTAAAGTTAGTAACTTATTTTTACTGTGTGTTTTAAAAATAACATAAATCTTGAAAAAATATTCTTAAGATTCGACTTTGTAGACCATTGATTTCCTAAAATAAAATAAATACTTTGTTTCCTTTCAGATTCGTAATAAAATGATAGATGGGGAAAGTGGAGATAAAACATTCAGAACTCTGGTTAAATCTCAAGATGAGGTAAGAATTAATTCAGGTATGTTTCTATATTCATACACTCATATATATATTTGGTAACAGTTGTCATCAGTAACTTATTTTCTGTTCAAGTATTTGCTTCTGAGGAAAGAACTTTAGTAAACAAATTCCATTTACTTTTAATGATGCGCTTCTTAGCTGGAGGGTAAAATAACAGTAAGATATGTTTAATCTGCTTTCTCAATTTTTGAAATAACGTTCTTAGTATTTCTTAATGTAGTCATATAGTATTAGAAATATCTTGTACATTTTATTGTGTCTAATATTTTATCATCATAAGGAGTAAAACACAGGGGCTGGAGATGAGGAGTATAGTGGGTAGGCACTTGCCTTATAGTAAACCCTCAGTACCAGTCCAAAAACAAAAAGGAAAAAAATAATATTACACAGTATTTTATGTGTCCTTTCAGACCATTTCAATTACACATAGTTGTAAACATTTAATCACTTTCATTTTATGTATACAGAAGAATGTTGTTTTGAGTTACATAAAGTTGTTTCTTAAAAACTTTTGTTTACATCTTTCTGACTAGATTTAAATTATCTTATTATTTATGCACTTTATAGTATAATAATTTTTCATTTAAATCAGAGAGTAAATCAGGTGGTAACACAACCATCTCCATCAATCCCTGATTCAAGTATGTAATAAACTAATAATTTTATGTTTACACTAAAGAATTCTTGTGTATGAGGAGTTTATCTATCCTGCATCAGTCATATCTAGCTAGCATTTCTGCGCTCAAATATTTGAAAAATATATAGAAACATGAAAGCTTTTGAAACTGGAAATTTCATTTGAGCTTATTTATATACTTATACTCTTTCTACACAATATCATACTTTATGTACACGCAAATACACACAAACACACACATATATACACAAATATAAACAAACTTATCCTTAATTCTTCAATAGGTCTATACCTAGAATGGAGCATGTTTCTTAATATCCTTCTATCATGTGATATCATGTGATTTTTTTCATTTAGTATCATGAGTACCCCCCATTATTAAGAGAGGTACATATCAATATTAGTCATTTTGGACTGAATAGGGAAAAAAAATCAAGTTTTGTTGACTTTTGGCCTCTTCACCTAAATTTAAGTCATGATATTTACTTCCTCGGTCCTTAAAGATAAGAAGTAGATTATTCAGCCATTCTACCACTTTTTTCTTGGAGTCCACAAAGAATTCTTCAATTTACACATTTTTTCCACTTACAAAGTAATTTGTTTTCTAAGGAAAATCATTTGCTTTTGCCCCACCAACATACTTGAGTTCCTGTGACCAATATCCACAATTATTTGACATGGTTTATTACATAATATTAAGATATCTTTTTTGTTCCATTGATCTGATACTATTTTTTCTAACTTGATGAACATTACTGATATTTCATTTTGTCTTAAAATGAAGAAAACATGCATGGATAAATATATAAACATTTACTTCTCTTAAGAATTCTAGCGGTACAAAAATCTCTCGTTCCCCACTTTCCTCATCCTCTGTAAGCAATGCCACAGTGACAGGCAGCACTGTATGATAGTTGCAATATGATTTTAACATCTTTTTTCTTTCATCCTGTCAATTTAACTCCTTTGGACTTACTTCTTCCATATAAATTATGAAAAATAATAGTATTTAGTCTAGAGGGTTGATTAAATGAGACAAATGACTGTAAAATACTAAGTATGTGGCCTAATACCAGTCATGAGTATTATTCAGTTAGCATTTCAGGGACTGTTATTCTGATGACAATGATGAAGCAGAATACTGAATGAACTGAAAATGTACCTGTGTGCCATTATAAGTAAATAGGTACACCATTGCTAATATAAGAAAGAATGTTAATTTCTTGTCTAGTGTTCAGTAACTGTAAATGAAGGATTCTGTAACCATCAATTCTATATAATTGTAATTCATATTCCTGGTGGTTTACTTGTTTTTTTGCCCTTCAATGACTACTTAGTCTCTTATGATTAATAGATACTATAATAATATCCTTATAAGAACAGTAATGTGTAATCATATATTAGGATCTATATATATATATATCATATATAAAAACCTCACTAAGTTTACTGACATCTGCAACTTCTCTTAAGTATGTACTACCTAGTAGGAAAATAGCTTAGCCTTATGAATTATTTTATAGTTCTATTTCATTATTATCATATATTTTCAGGAAATATTTTCAAAGCTTTCCAATTAATAATTTTGTATAAGTTTCTAAAATCTTCTGCTTCTAAGCCCTTAAATTTATTATGTGGGTAATTATTTTTGCCCTAAAATACTAACACATAGCTCAGACATAGTTAAGTGTGAAATAAAGTATTTGTAAAGAGTAATGAATGACAACAGGACTTATAAATAAATTCTAGTGTTCCTATTTTCACATAGATTTCATATAAACTTAGAATAAGAATCTAAACTTTTTTTTCTAGAGATACATTGACAAAGGAAACAGGACATACACATGGACTCCAGTTAATGGCACAGATTACAGGTAATTAACTATATGTGTTTATTGTGTAGAAAAATATTTAGTTCACTGTATTTCACCTATTTAAGTGTTCATTTTTCTAAATAATAACTAGTAAGTCTTTGCATACTCAGAAACTATTTTCAATATAGTTAAAATAGAAGCTATTCTTTCTAGAGTATAAATATACTAAAGTTATAAATTCTATTTTTTTCTTTATGTCTTTCTTATTTTTGTTTTGTTGTTGCTGTTGTTGTGAATGTTGTTGTTGGGCCATATTCAGCAGTGATAAGGTCTTGCTCCTGGCTCTGGCTCAGGATTTACTCCTTGCAAGGCTAGGAGGATCATAAAGGGTACCAAGGATGAAACCCCAGCCAGCCATGTTCAAGGCAAGCACCCTACCCATCATACTATCTCCCTAGCCCCTAAAATTCTGATTTTTAATATAAAAAATAAATAACAACATAAAATTTAGAAAACGTGATGTAGATATGTTTGATATTCTGTATATCCATGATACAGATGATAAATGTTAAGAAAAATTAGCATACAATAATTGCACTCATTTGTGGAATATAAAGTAATATAATGGAAGACTAATACCCAAGGATAGTAGGGATAAGGGCCAGGAAGATTTCTCCACAGCTTGGAAGCCAGCCTCACATGCTGGGAGAAAAGGCAGCTGAGATAGAGAAGGGACCACCAAGCAAATGATGCTTGGAGGCCTCACTCGGGATGGGAGATGTGTGCTAAAAGTAGACTATAGACCAAAAATGATGGCCACTTACTACCTGAATTGCAAAGCATAAAAGGAGAGAGAGTTAAAGGAAATGTGCCAGCCCCAGAGGCAGGGCGGGTGGGGTGGGGGTGGAGGGAGGGATACTGGGAACATTGGTGGTGGAGAATGGGCACTGGTGGAGGGATGGATACTCAGCCATTGTATGACTGAAATGTAATCATGAAAGTATGTAAGTTTGTAATTCTATTTCACTGTTTTATTAAAAATTTTAAAAAGAAAAGTTAGTATTAATGTATAGTTATGCCCTCCAACTCACTTCACCCTTTGTCAGTTTACATTGCTTACATTTAGGCTGTCAGTGAAGTTCAATTAAGTCAGTTAAATGCAATTAATTAAGTCAATTAATGACATAAGTTCAATTAATGGCATAATCTGATACATAAGTCTCATAATTTACCTCATAAGTATTAATTCTGTAACATCCCAGTCCCTCTGAACTGATGGGAATTGGAAAAGTTTGTCAGTGAATATCCTATAATCTCTTGGTGATTCTTCCTGCTTTAAAGTTAGCTGAGCATTCCCTTTACTTTCTTGCTCTAACTTTTCTCAGAAGTCACAGCCTTCCCCATGGTTCTGCTTCCTGATCCTCAGAAAACTCAGGCTGATCTGTCCTGAGTCTGCCCTTGGTGTCACTAATTCACTTTTCCTAAAATTGGTGTCAGCAAGACTATGAACTCATGTCACCAGACCACACCTTCCACCAGACATCTTTTTTAACCATCACCTACATCTCATTCCTAGAATTTTTTTCAACATAGCTTATTCACTTTCTTTCCTATACACAGAGATCACTTGTTCTCAAACTGTGACATCCCCACACTTAGCTAAGGTAAAACATAGGTATTTGCTTTCAATATAAACTCTAAAAGAGATTTAAAACTCAATGCTTTTTAGATTCCACAGATAAAATTACTCTATGGCATGCTATAAAATCATTTAAATGTTTATTCACAGTTATACTGAGCTGCTCATGCTGGTAACACATAATTTGCAAATGGGTCAGCTCCATGAGCCACACTTTAAGTAGCTTTCTCAAAGATGAATCTTTAAATATTTGAATTCTCAGGATTTTAAAAAATCTCCTCTCCCCTAAATTGTCTTTATACCCTTTCCTTAGGTATCTGTTTGAGGTCATATTTTGCAATGTGTGCAATGTTAAAACTGACACTGTTTTATAATCTTTGATATTTCCCTCCATTCTAGTTTTCAGGTCACTGCATTTTATCTATACCTTCTTTCTTGTAGCCCAACTTCAATAATTACTTTGTTTTAATTGAGACTTACAATGAGTTCATCTCCATTTCTGTTGGCACCTTTGTGCCCTTCTGTCCCACTCTATCAGAATAAATTCTCAGAATCTTACTATGTTCACACTCTTGCATATGCCCTTAACTCTCCCTTAATCATGCACAGGTTTCACAAACAGTTTGGCAAAATCACAGTCCTGATTAAACTCAAATTACTACAACACAGAACAGTGATTTATAATATCTCCATCTTTTCTCTTTACTCAACAGTTACTTTACTCAACAGTTACTTAAGAAATAGCCTTACTAATATTAGTTAAATTGTTCTATTTCTACAGTCAGAATTTCCAACATATTTTCTATCTCAGTTCAATTTTCAAAAGTTATAAAAAGTTTGTCACAGCCATTAGAAGTCCACAGGATTAAAACCCATTGAGCCTTCAGTTCTTAGATTTTACTCCCAGACTGTATGCAGAACATTGTTGGCGTAAACTATACTGACCTCCTTACAGCTCTTCTTAAACACTGTTATTCTCTGTGTCTGATCCCTTGAAACTGAAGCTATTCCTGTCTAGAATGAATTTTCTTCAGTTATTCACATGCTCAGATTCACTGTATTCATCACCCATGTTTAACTTTTCAGCCTTTCAATAAGAACTTCTCTAACAACATTGTTTAAAACGTAAAATATCAGATTATGTTACTCTTTACTTTTCTGCTGTGAATCCTTCATAAACTTCACCATCATTAGACATATATGTAATATACTCATATGAAGCACATTTAGAAAAATGTATTTCCCTTGCTTATTGTTTTTCCTTCTCAAATAAGTTCTAAGAGGGCAAGGTTCTAAGTCGATAGTTTCTAAGATAATTTCCTGCTTCATACTTAATATACAGCTCACAACACAGTAACGCATAATAATAGATATTCTATAAATATTTACAGAATTTAAATATTATTTCTGTCAAATTCACATTCGATAGAAAAGTTTCAAATTCCCATCAAAATATTCCACTATGAAGAAATCTGACTATATATTAACATATTGTGAATATATAATCTTGTCGGTTATGGTGTATACAGCCATTTTTTTCCTAACAAAAAAATAAATAAATTTCCCCATATCTACTAGTTTAGGATATACATATAACTTAGGTAAACCTAGATTACTAAGTATTTCTATAGATGTTTTCTTGTGGGTTCACGGTATGTCATATAGAATAAAAATAGAAGAAGAGAACATAAATATTGATGTCACACTATACCACATGCCAATCTCCAATTTAGATTTTATAATGTTAAATAACATTGAACAACTATTTATTTTACTTTTTTTCCCCATTTGTTGGTTTCATTTCTTTTAGGCAACTCTACACACAAATAGTCCTTCTGCACATAATTTTTTTATTCCTCATCCATGATCATGATCACCTTTCAATGGTGGACAAATTTGTCAAAAGGATCATTTAGAAGAAATAATCTAGAAAAATCTTTATAGGCTATTTCATAATGAAACGAAGTATTGGGTGCACAGCATGAGAATGTTCTCTTTGTCTTTGTTTCTTATTTGAAAAGTGTCTAAGCTAGAAAAACAAGACGCTCTGACCTTTACAATGAGTCAGCAATGATGGTTTATCCCAAAGTAGTCATGATTACAATCTGAGGGATGTTGCATTTTTATCATACCTTATTTAAATATATACTTTAATGCTCACTAGTGTGCATCAATATCTTTTCCTCATATATCTAGCCCCAATATGAAGTGTTGCAACATTAACACCATTTTCTGCAGTTTTGGGTTCATTCTTTGTCACAAAATTTTATTTCCTTTCATTTTCATTCAAGTTAAATTTAAGCTCCAAGTCTGGTATTTACATCATACATTTCTAATCCAATATATTTTCCCTATCATTTCTACCACTGCTGTACTCATACAAATCATTGTTTCCTTAACAGACCCCAGACTCCCTTTGAATGCATATTTTTCTCACATATTTTATTCTTGAATTTACAAAATTTAGTCAGATGAATCCTATTTGCATTTTAGCGACTTCCCTAAAGCTCTATAAATGAATTCACAACAAAAATTTGTATCAACGCGTTATGTCCACATTGTAGGAAAAAAGAGCATATTTTGAGTTAATGTGTAAGGGTCTAAATTTCACTTTATGATCACTAAGCCTAGAGCTCAGATTTTGAAATATAGTAATTATTCTAATAAATATAAAACCTATTATTTTAATTTTATAGTATAAATGACTGTTAAAAAATGTTTTATAGATCTTTAACCAAGTTTTAGTGAGTTAACAAAACATTGCATGTTCTCTTAATCTATCTGGTAGCTACTGACTTCATTAGACTGTAATCCCTAGGAGAAAAATAACACTGCCTAGGTCTGGAGTTTTATATAGTCAGAGAGAGATAGCAAACATTGCCTCTGATGGCATCATTGGCTAGGAATGTTGAAGAGGTTATCTGCTATGGCTTGAAGAAGTAAGTTTGTCTTAAAGATAGAAATAATTAAGTGTAACTATTGTTCTATACAGTGGAATGTAGCTATTAATAACAAGCCAATAAAATGTATATTCTCTATGTCAGTTTTAAGACTTCTATGGTGTTCCTCATGAGTTTCCACAGTACTTTTACGATACATCAGATGTAATCCAAGCTTATGGAGTGACACTGTAGGAGCAACATGATATAACGTCATCAGATTTAATTAGAAATTTCTTTTAGTGATAAATGCTGATGGAGCAATAAAAATGTCCTGATTTCCCTTGAGAGGAATTTTTAGGAGACACTATTCAAATGCATAGTAATTTTGATCTACATTTTATAAAAAGCAAGTGAATCATGAAAGGTCATCTTGCTTTCAGACTAATTGCACTGCTTATTTTAGTTTTAATCTCTCTCTCCATTCAGAGGAAGTAACCAATAAAATAAAAGCAGAGATTTTCATTAAATACACATAGCATTTTATTTCTCTGACCTTTTCCCATAAGGAAAGATCTGTGATTTACTTAATGAGGGAGAAAGATTTGGAATTAGGGGTAGCAAGCATCCACACACTTTACTATCTTGCTGAATAATTAAATTTTAGCAAATAAATCCTTTCTTGTTTCATCTTAATAGAATGAATTCTTATTGTATCTAATCATAAGTAAAAAACTTGAAATTCATATTTCCCATTTGTACTGTCCATAAAAATATATAACGAGATTAAATTTGAACAGCTATCCCAGAGCCTGAGAAACATGAGACTTCAGTGGTTTAAAAAAAATTCCAATATCTAAAAATACTTTGAAGCCTAAAAGCATACATGATTTCTGGTACAATGCTAAATTCTTGGCTAAATATTATAAGTGAATGCTGCATGACTCAACTGGTCATATCAATCAAGATCACTTTTGAAAAAAATAATTGCATTAAGAAACATGAGAGGGTCTGGAGCTATAGGACAGATGGTAACGCGTTTGCCTTGCATGCGGCCGACCTGGGTTCGATTCCCAGCATCCCATATGGTCCGCCAAGCACCAACAGGAGTAATTCCTGAGTGTATGAGCCAGGAGTAACCTCTGTACATTGCTGGGTGAGACCCAAAATGTTAAAATAAAAATCTGAGCGATATCATCATCTTTATACCCATAGTTATGTTTCTTTCTATAGTCAAGGTAGAGCAAAGATCATGTTTTTATTGTAAATGTGATGAAATGTTATGCTTGCTTACTCATATTAGTCATTATAATTAGCAGAATATTGCACATTAATCTATTAGAAAACTGAAAAATATTAAAATATTCTGACATCTATATTATGTAGGCTGGAGCGATAGCACAGCAGTAGGGTGTTCGCCTTGCACACAGCCAACCTGGGTTTGATTCCTCCACCCCTCTCAGAGAACCTGGCAAGCTACTGATAGTATCACTCCCACACAGCAAAGCCTGGCAAGCTACCCGTGATGTATTTGAGATGCCAAACACAGTAACAACAAGTCTCACAATGGAGACGTTACTGGACTGGCTCAAACAAACCAATGAATAACGGTAGGATAGTGCTACAGTGCTTATATTATGTCAGAGTGAATGGGATAAAATATGAATGAAATATGAATAGAGAATGAATGGGTGACCAAATATTCGTTTTAAGAACTATAAAGAAATCTGAATTTGCTCACCTACAGGCACTGGGGAACTTACCTAAAGAATTTTAGGATCAGAGAGCCACAACAGGTAGGGGGCATGCTTCCAGCCTGGTTCAATCCCCAGGCATGGTTTATGGCCCCCTGATAACCACCAGGAGTTATTCTGAGCACAGAGGTAGGAATAAACCCTGAGCACTGCAGAGCCAAAAAAAGGAAAAGCAAAAAAATAAATTAAAGAATTAATAAATAACACTTTTACATTTCTAATTTTAATAGTGTTTATTTGCTACAAGACAATTTAAACTTCTATATATACATTCATCACATAGAGATATACAGTTGGTGTATATTACTTTGTTTAAATACACCCTTAATTTTCATTTTTTTAGTATCAATGTATTTTAACATTTTTCTAATAATATTCCAGGTAATTTTTTTCAAAACTAATTTATAGGTTAATTTAGGAGCATATTTCCCCTATGTTTCTTCTAACTTCTTATAATGCAGATAACAGGACGCCTTTGAATAGCAAAACTGAACTAAGTACTATATTTTCTGAGTACATTTTTCTGTCAAATTAAAACGTCATTTCCTTTCCATGAGGAAGATCTTTGGAATTTCCACGAACTTGATGTCTTTTTGTTGTTGTTGTTGTTGGTGGTGGTGGTGGTGGTTTGTTTCATTTTTGTTTGTTTTGTGTTTATGCTTCTCTTGTTTCTATTGCAGTTTGGCCTTGGTATTACCAACCTACAGTTTTTACTATATAAAAGCCAAAATAGAAGACACAATAACTCAGGCCAGATGTAAGTACTGTGAAAGCAACTTCAGGGTCTATTTGTTATCTCCTACTATCAGATGTTTAGAACGTCTAGATTTTGGAATACCTAAGGCTTTGTATATACATTGAGTAGGTGTTATTACCAAATCTACAGCAATGATTCTAACCCATTCCAAACATGCAAGGAACAAGATATATTCTACATGGATAGAATATAAGCAGGTACTCCAGTCTAACTGGCATTCCCCTCACCATGCTCCCCTGCTTGCTTTGTGCTCATAGAATCATTGCAATGCCATGTCCTCTGTTGCTGTTGTTTTAAGGGTCTGCAAGATGGCACAAAATGTTTCATATAGTTTCACTGGCAGCACCATGATAATAAAGCTTTATTTTTTCTTTTTTGTTGTTGTTGTTGCATTTGACAAGAATAATATTGTGCTCCACATCTTCTATTTTGGTTGAATATATTAAATTATATTAGTCTTTGCTTTGGTTTGGAAATTAGCTTTCTTTTTATAATCCAAATGAATGAGGTCAACAGCTCAAATTTGAGTATCATTTTTTGAAGCATCATTTAGAATGTGGAGTAATTATTAACCTTAATGCATATCCCAAGCCATTATTAACTTTGTTCTTGGTAACTAGTCTTTGTAAAATAAAATGACCATCATATCTTTGTAAACCACTCAATTATTACTAATAACCTAAAATTTTTATTACAATAAAATGAAAATAGACACATATGTATATGTTTACATATGACTGTAAATGTCCTACAGTTTCTTTCCTTTGTTGGTTATTTTTTATTCCCTAAATTCTAATTTTCATAACACATCAAAATAATTTTTATATTCATATTTCCATTTTCAATTCATAGATATGATGGTCTTTTAGCAACCAGCAACTTTGCATGAGCTAATTTTTCACTTGATAAATGAGGGAATGACCAGTGTGTCTCTGGTGATTGGTATATGCTTGTTTACAGGCTAATATGAGTATTGCACCTGCATTAACCACTTTGCAAAATAGACTCTTAAAATATGCACAGTACAGAAAGGGAACTCTAGAAATAATTGACAGGACATCCAAGACATACAAGACATACAGTCTTCAGAAATTTGTCTTTTTTCAGACTACAGCTGTACATAAATAAACCTCTGATCTATGCACAATATTTTTATTCAAGGAAGTCATTGAATAAAATATTGGTTGTGACCCCCTTTGCTTTACCCTCTTTTTTTTTTGTTTCCCTGCTTTCTCTTTCTGATGGATTTTCACAGCAAAAAGGAGGAAAATGAAGGGCAAGTATTTTCTTGTTGCTCAATTACTTTCTGTTTAGTACACTTGACATTTCCACTGATATTCCCATTCCTATTGGATATTATCCTCTGTGCTTCTCATTTGCCAGAATTTCCTCCATGATCATTCAAACCTTAGCAGCAAAACAAGGGAAAAGATATGTTTTGTGTTTTCATACGAATTTGTTTCACTTTTATCTTTTTTCTTAGACTTAAATGTGTGTGCTTATTTTCTTCCACTTCACAAATTCAAACCTAACATGAATATTACTATTTTACTGTGACATTAATGGGTTTATGAAAATAATTTACCATAATATTAGTAAAGTTTTTATGTTGGCATCTTAAATAAAATACATCACAATGACATAAATCACTTTTTAAAGCATATCTTGGTTATGGTAGAGTTAGTACCATGTAGATATATATATTATAAATTATAGATATAACATTTTATCAAATTCAACTTATAATATATACTTTAAAATTAAATAGATTAAATTTCGAGTATTAAAGATCTTTATATTCACTGTATTTGAACTAAAGAGTAGTTTTTTTTCCTCACTATATTATCATTCAAATACCTTTTTAATGTAGAATATCAGAGTTATATTCTGAATCACTTATCTAACCAAGTATTACTGTCATTGCAGATTCAGAAACACTGAAACCAGATAATTTTGAAGAGTCTGGCTATACCTTTATAGCACCAAGGTTTGTTTTTCTCTTTTTTTTTGTTAATTTATATTTTAATAACTGGTCTAGATGGGTAAGCCTTTTGTAACTTTCCTGAACTGCTATCAAAACTATTTCAACGGTATGGAAGCAGACAGGACAACAACCAAAAAAATAATCATAAATCTGTTGGTTCATTTAGTTATTCTTGGTTCCTAACTACAATTTGCAGACTGAGGGACAAAGTAATGAACAGTGTGGAGCTGGAGCTGGAGCTGTAGCTACATTGGGGAGGGCATTTGCCTTGCATGTGGCCAACCTGGATTCGATTTCCAGCATCCCATATGGTCTCCCAAGCACTGCCAGAAATAATTCCTGAGTGCAGAGCCAGGAGTAACCCCTCTGCATTGCTGGGTGTGACCCAAAAAGCAAAAAAGAAAAAAACAGTAGTGAACAATGCAGGTATAAACTCTAATCTCACTGCAAAAAAGATTACATCTGACAATAATGAAGATTGTGTATTTTGCACATAGTATATGATTGCACTTTATATGCATAGTATATGATTGTACATTATATGCATATGCCTTAGCAATAAAATATGTATGCCCAGATATATGTGTGCATTCACATATGAATTAGCCTCATAATTGATGTTTATTTAATATTCTAATATAAGTTAATAAGAAAACATTGTAATATATTGACATTGCTCATATAATATTTAAGATTAAAATAATGATTCCTCTGAAGTTTATTCTATTCATATAATCCCCCTTTCCTATCTCTGATGCACATTTTTATCTCTGTTTCTATTTACATAAAATTTTTGAAGCACTTAGTAATCCAAATAGCATATATCACAACATTTGTCTGGGCTACTTCAAAACTATACCCAACCCAATGGTTTTCTGTTGGTGGTGCCCAAACGTGTAAGGACATTCATAATTCTTGGAACACTTAGGTCAATAATTATTAACATGAGGTTCTCAAAACCCTGTGGGTCCTTTCAGAGACTCACCAAGATTAGAATTCTTTTACTGTAGCACTGTAGCACTGTCCTCCCTTGTTCATCGATTTGCTCAAGCGGGCCCAGTATTGTCTCCATCATGAGACTTCTTGTTACTGTGTTTGACATATTGAATATGTCATGGGTAACTTGCCAGGCTTTGCCATGCAGGCAAAATACTCTCGGTAGCTTGCCGGGCTCTATGAGAGGGGAAAAGGAATCGAACCCAGCTGCATGCAAGACAAACGCCCTACCACTCTGCTGTCGCTCCAGCCCAATTCTTTTACTAATACTGTCAAAGTATGGTTAAATTTTTCATATATTGACATTTGCATTGACAGTACAAAATAAGTAGGGAACAGATCAAGGCAGGGATACTATAGTGTACTAGAAATCATCTTTTCTTTGTAGTCAGGCACCTACAGGATGGAGAAAGCCAGTTTCACATTAAAATATCATTAACTGAAGCTTTGTCTTTGAATATATGTCATTTAACGTTCTTTGTGATGAAAATGGAAGCTTTACTGCATGAAGCAAAACTTGACTGACTCAAAGAAGAGCACTCATATAATTTGAATTTAAGTGCTGAATGGGTGTTGTTTGCTTTTTTGTGTAAAGTATTTTACTTGAAAGAACAAATGACATGATTATTCAGACGTCAATATTTGACAAACAGTTAAAAAGAAAAATCTACTGAAGTAAATATTGTCTTTGAAGAAAACAACTGGGTTGTTTTTGCCAGTTACAAAATCTTATTTATTTCTAATAAATCTAATTTATTTCCAACAAAATCAGAATTGAGAAAACTTATAATCATTACTTGAGGCTTATACCTTCCCAATAATTGTAGACTCAACTGCTAAAATCAGGGAAGATATTGAGGAATGAAACTTTCAGTATTATGTAATAGGATATATTATCATTTAGAGTATCTGCCTAATGCATATTTAAGTAAATAGCTTATAATGCTATAATATCATGGGTGAAAAATGCTTCAGTGTACAAAAGATATTGATACTCTTCCAGGTTTCATATGAAAACCATCAATTAAAAATAATAAAATTGTCAAATTGTGGCTAGAGAGATAGTACTGTTGGTACACTTTTCTTACATGTGGCAGACCTGAGTTCAGCACCAGGCACTGCATAAGATCTCCAAGTAGTGTCAGAAGTGATCCTGGAGCACAGTGGCAAAAGTTCTGAAATCCAGGGTACGGTCCTAAACCAAAAAATAAAAATTAAAGTAATCAAATTTTGGTTGTCACCTAAGAAGTATAGCTACAATGATCAGAAATGACTATCAAAAAAGCCTCTTTTCCATCTGCAAATCTATTCGAAGACATAACTTTTTATTTTCCCAAGGAAAATCTTTTCATTGCCTGAATGCAGAGGCATATTTGTCTTTTACGTCATGCTTAAAGAGACTTACAAATAGATAAATCAGTGTACCTTTTCTCACTAGTTTATTTCTACCACTATCATGGTTATAACATTCACCTAACATATAGAGAGCTCATTATTAACATTTAATTAATAAATATTTTAATTTAACAATTTTAATTTCAATACCTAAGGCATAGAGTGAACTTGTGTGACAAAAATTACAAAAATTATTACTTATGGAATACATACCATCCAAATGTCAAATCCCTAATATATATTATCTATATCTCTACCCTTTCTCTTAATGTATTGATTTATAATACAAATACATAATAAGGAGACAGTCAGTGACTTGCAAAGACACATAACTAGTTTCACAAATGTTAACTGTGATTAACGTGTACATTGTGTTATTGTTTTAAAACCTGATATTCTATTTTTTCAGAGATTACTGCAATGACCTTAAAATATCAGATAATAACACTGAGTTTCTTTTAAATTTCAATGAGTTTATTGATAGAAAAACTCCAAACGACCCATCATGTAAGTATGCATTAATTCACAGTTATTACATCACGGTGGTTATATCTGAAGAGGTTACATAATAGATGATTAGTTAATTGGGAAGCAGGTTTACTCTCAGAATTTTAAATGGTTAAATTTAATAGTTTGATCCTTAATTTTAAATATTAAAGAAATTTCCAATATTATAAGTGAAACTGAATTTTCAAAGCTAGTAATGAATACTTGCAAATGTTTCAGTGTAAGTAGAATACCGAATTACTTTATTCTCATTGCTACTCTCAAATTCAGGGATTTTGAATAATCTTTTGAAGACTTTTCATTGTTATCCTTTATATAAATATATATCATACATATAGCATGCATTCATTAATTTATAACTTATATAAGTTTTTAATTAAGAAAATGAACAAATACATATTATTTAATGTTTTTCTTTATCCCAGGTATATACCAGTTAACTTTTTATCTTAAAATATAGTAATATACTACTGTTGGATCTAGTGGGATGACTACATACAAGTGTATTGTATACCACAAACCTAATAAGCCCCTGAAGCTTGCCTCTGTCTTACTTCCAGACTTCTTCTTCTTGCCCACCCCTTATCATCAATTTCTCTCTTACCCTAGAATCAAAGGGTGTCTTTTAAGGAGTCAAAGGCTAGGATGTAAGCTGGAGTCATTGGTAGAGCAATGCAGTCACAGGTGGTGAGAATGGAGTTAAGAACACTGTATGCCTGGAACCCTATTGTCAACAACTTTGTAAATCACAATGTTGCATTTTATAAAGTAATATACACATTTTATTTTTTTAAAAAAAGGAAGTTTAGGATAAGCCAGAAAGAAAGCTAGTGTAGAGGTTAAGGTGTTTGCCTTATAGTCCAGGGTTTGATCTGTATTGCATGAGCTTAGGTTTCTTCCTGGCTCTATGCTCAGGGACATTCCTGGCAATGCCAGAGATTAAAATGGGGTTTTTGACTTGATTTTAGGATAACAGTTATCCCATTAGAAGATTTTGAAAGATGATACCAGAAATACCAATGTTACCTTTTCATCAATATCATTACTCTACTAAAGTCAGTCTTGGAATAAATTTGTTTTGAATATTGTTGGTCTGTTCCTTGGTCATAACAATATGATATGATTATACTATGCACACACATATATAATAGGCTTTATGTTTATACATAAAGTCATCCTTGATATTAAGGAATTACTAACTAACCTACAAAATAAGCTATTTCTTCAATGTTTCCTGTTGTCTCATTTAATATATATTTTTATAAAATTTAAAAAATAAATTTGCCTTATTGGGAATTGTCTGTTCCACTCCTACTTCTGTCTGTATTTTAAAAATGTGACACAAGGTGAACAATATAAACAATATGTTGAAAATTAACACAAGATATATTTTTAAGTTCATAAAAGTATCATTCACCCTACATAGATTTTGGGAAAAGTAATGTATTTGTTTCATTATTATCATGATTAGCAAACTATGTGAGTGTAAGTGAAGTTATCCTTTTTCTGCACTAGGCAACACAGATTTGATTAATCGAGTCTTGCTGGATGCAGGCTTTACAAATGAACTTGTTCAAAATTACTGGAGTAAACAGAAAAACATGTAAGTATTTGTTCTTGTTCATACAAATATTCTGCATTCCTGTTTATCTTCTCTCTGTAAAATTGTTGGGAGATAGTTCTCATAAATATAAAGTTCAGTATTTACCCTTAATAGTAATAGCTTCCATATATCACGTTGCAGTTGCTGACAACTTGCAGTGTAATTTATAAGTGTGTTAAAATAGTGTCCATCATTAATCAGATTTACAAGCATATACACTGCCGTGTGAATAACCCCCCAAAATTTTTTTTGTTATATTTTTACTTAAATGTCTGTAATGAAAAGGATTTGTAATTAAAGTTCATTTGGTGTTCAAATAGCACTACCAAAAATCCACTCTAGAGAATGAGGTATCTGACTATGGTTTCCATTTACAGTCTCTTCATCCATTTTCAATTGGTCTCTAAATGTTATTTTTTTATAACTGTGTTCCTCTCTCCTTCATACTCAGGGGCCTAATCTTCCATTCCTAAGACTTTATACTAATTGATCTTATTTACCTTTAATCCTTCCATTCCTCTGTTTAGACCAGGGTATTACTTTTAAATGGAGCTCTAACTATGATAGGGAGGTTCTCCAGTATGGATTCAAGATTACTCATAAGCTGTTCAGTCTTAGGATACTTGTACTTGAAATTTTACTTCCTCATCTTTATCCCATTAAGCCTTACACTTCCACCTAGTGCAAAATGTCATCACTCTTCTTTAGCTCTGTATTACTAATACACTCTCGCTCTACATCTTCATGCTTTCCTGTTGTCTGTGCTAAATCCTTTTTCTATCTACAAAATGCTGCTCTAACATTATTTCTTGAGCTGTCTTCCTTTACAATTCTCTAAGTACTTACTTCTTAGCTATTTCAACTTTGAATCCATTGATATATTTACTTTGGCTGACATTTACTTCCTTTATTTAAGGAGTCATTTTTATTTTTTCTTTATATCACCAACACCTAAATCAATATCTTACAAGGAGCAAATTGAATAAAATCTTCTGTGTTCATTTTCAGCAAGGGAGTAAAAGCACGTTTTGTTGTGACTGATGGTGGAATTACCAGAGTTTATCCAAAGGAGTAAGTTCAAATAACATATGTAATCATTTTTCAGAGAAACTGATTTCTATAAGTAGATCCTATTGGAGTTATTACCTTAAACTGTACACGATCTAAATGTTTCATTTTGGGGGAATGAGAAACACGATACTTTAGTGGTATTTTGCTTATTTATTTGTTTATTTATTTACTTTTGGTTTGAGGGCCATAATCAGTGATGCTCAGGGCTTATTCCTGTTCTGTGCTCAGGAATCACTCCTGGCAGGGTTCTGAGGACCAGCCATATGTGACACTGGGTTCTGACATGGCAAATCAAGTGACTTACCTACCGTACTATTGTTCCAGTCCAAGTATTTAAAAATTTTAAGATAAATTGAAGATATTTTTCTGTTTGTCAATACAAAGTCATCTGCTTAAATTAACATTATGATTATAGAATATTAGCCATATTTTAAGGCACCTATTTTCACTATTGATTTTTATCTTTATTTATAAATATAAATATTTATATTTATGATTTTATCTCAGTTTATCTTGAGACCATTTCACAGTATGCTAGGCTGGGTAGATTCTGGGATTTATTAATATTAATTGACCTATTAACTGAGCTGTCCATAATTGGCTAGTAAATGCAGAGTAAAACTAGGAGCCAACTCTTCTGAGCCTTAATATAATTTTATTGTGATATATTACTTCATAATGAATATCACTTACTCCATCAATTACCACTGATTTCTTTAGACATACCTGAAATGTAGTCATATCTGTAAAGTTCAGTGATGTCTACAAAGGCAAAAGTAGTATCAGGTAGATTAAAGAATATAAATGATGAGTAGTTTCCTGTTTCCTCCTTAGGGCTGGAGAAAATTGGCAAGAAAACCCAGAGACATATGAGGACAGCTTCTATAAAAGGAGTCTAGATAATGATAATTATGTTTTCACTGCTCCTAACTTTAACAGTAAGTATTGTTTTGGCATTTACCTTTCCAATCCAGTTTTTTTTTTAATTAGGGATTGATCCTACCTGTTTTATTTCAAATCAATATATTTTATATTAATTGCTAAGAATAATTACTATTAGTCTCATAATATGTGTAAGATATTGGAAGGAGAGAAACATCTATGTAGTTGAGGAGTTAAAATGCATGCACAGGAAATAGTTATGAAGTCATGTAAAGATAGCATATCTATCTACAGGCATGCATGACACATGGAAACATGTGTTGATGATCCCTCACTTCACAAACTGAATCATTAAAAATTCTTTAGTGTACTTTTAAGAAGAGTGAACTCATTACTTATACTTTATCAGTTTCAGCTACATGCTATAATATTAATAAAAGTTAATAGTAGCCTATATTTTAAAATATCCTTTGGGTCATATCCAGAAAATTCTCTAAATTAATACTTCAATATCTCTGTGGGTAAGTATGATTTCTCCCATTTTTACAAATGGGGAAACTGAAGTTCGAAGAATTTCAGAGTTCTGTCCAGGGACATATATCTTATAAATGCAATGGCAGTTTTATGAACTGAGATCAATCTTTCCTCCTAGCTTAAAAACCCTCTCCAATATTTTAGCAAATATCACAGAGCAGAGATTTGGCATGCACTCATTATTTTGCGGATGTAGATGTAACTAGACTGAATCATTCACATCACAAAGTCAGAGAATACAAACCTTTCTATGCTTATTAAGATTGCCTGAAATGTTGAGGAAAAGAGGGTTTATATTAATAAACGTGTTAATATTATCTCATTTATACATCTTTACTCCAAAATATTTAAACAAAAAATATAGTATTAAAATAAGTTAATATTTCATAAAAATCAATATTGATTTTTTATATATAGATCTGACTCTTTTCTTTTTGTAGAAACTGGACCTAGTGCTTATGAATCTGGCATTATGGTTAGCAAAGCTGTAGAAATAAATATCCAAGGAAAACTTCTTAAACCTGCAGGTAAGCAGACTATCTACATATATAATTATATATATAAATTCACTATCACTGTCACCCCATTTTTCTTCAGTTTGCTCAAGCGGATCCAGTAACGTCTTCATCCATCCCTGTCATGTGCAAATGTAGCCCGGTGACATATTGGGGGCTCCTTCAGGGTCAGGGGAATGAGGACCATTCATTGTTACTGTTTTTGACACACCGAGTATGCCACAGGTAGCTTGTCAGGCTCCGCCTTGCAGGCGGGATACTCTCGATAGCTTGCCAGGCTCTCCGAGACGGATGGAGGCTTTTGGGGCAGCCTCTGCTCACCTTAACAGGTGTTCCTAGTCAGGCATATAGGCGGGTATGATACTCTCAGTAGCCTGCCAGGTTCTCTGAGAGTGAGTACTAGAGAATAAGTGGTTGCATGGCCGTGACTTCCGGGAGTTTGGTTTTATAGTTTCTGGATGGCCGTTGATGGGGTTACATGGCAGTTGGTAGGTGTAACTCTCTAGCTACTGGAAGGTGGGGGATCTGGGTGGAGGAGGCCCAGTCCCGAACCGAGCAGGCTTGGAGATCTCAGCCCCAGGTCCCGCACACTTGGGTTCCTCTACCAGTTCCTCATCCAAGCGTGTGGAGAGTGGTCTCAGCATGGCTTTGGCTGGGTCCCAGAGGTCTTCAGCTGTCGTGGCTCTGCTCAGGACAGAGAGGGAAACTCAACCCACCCTCCTCCAAGGGGCCCCGGTGAGGACAGCCAGGTGCGGGGGCAAGAGACTCTTCTTGGCCTTTTGGCTAAGATCAAGTGTAATATATATAAATTACATATAAATAATCACAACCAAAATTAAATGTGACCGGTTGTTTATATTATCAACTGGACGTGCTTATCAGAAATATCATGGACATTTTCTTCCAAAATAAGCCAAAAACCTTGCTCATTTTATTTAGTTATTTTGGTTATGGGGCCACATCCAGTGATGCTCAGGGAACCATGCACAGTGCCACCCATCGGAGTCAACTTCATAGAAGGCAAGTGTTTTAATTCCTGTGCTATCTGGCTCCAAAGCATGGAAATTTTAGGTAAAGGTAAAGGCCCTCCCGTTGATCATCGATTTGCTCGAGCAGGCCCAGTAACGTCTCCATTGGAGACTTTGTTGTTACTGTGTCTGGCATATCCAGTGCTCTCGGTAGCTTGCCGGGCTCTCCGAGAGGGGCGGAGGAATCGAACTTGGGTCGGCCATGTTGGCCGCTTGTAAGGCGAACGCCCTACCCGCTGTGCTATCGCTCCAGCCCGAATTTTAAAGAAAAAAATAAATTAATTACCAATGAAATTGTGATAAAATGAAATTAAGACTATATAGAGTTGAGTTCAGAAGTTTTCAAAGAAGAGCAGATGCATATACACTATTGATTCAAATTTATGGAGTCAATATATAAAAATCCTAAATGTGGGTTAATCCAGCACCCTCACCAAGATTTCTGTCCTATAAGATCATTTTAAACTTGGAAATCATATAGCCAATGATATGAATACTTATACTGGGACAAACAAAAAAAATATTTTCTGTCATTAGGAAAATAAATGATGATAGAAATCTACTATGTGGCTTACCATATAAAGAGTTAGAGAGAGATAAAGAGTTGGAGAGAGATTTACTTTAATAACATAGTATATTGATAGAAATATGCTCCCGTATGAAATAAAGCAATTAAATAAAGAAACAAAGCACGTGGTTTTTGATGTTGGAGATGAAGGTTTCCTCATCCACCTCACATAGCCCTGACCACTACAGGGTAGGGTTTACCAAAATCCAAACAACAGCAACAATAATAATAATGGTCATATTGAAGCAGCTTGGAATGAGTGGATCCAATAAGGTAAAAATTTAATTATTTCATTGTATGGCTCAGTATACAGTCTGTGGCTCAATATGAAAAGAATGTAAACTAGAGTGGTTCAGTTGGAAAGATCAGTAAATTGTGCTCCCAGGGGAGTTTCATTAATTCGCTCATCTGCTCAGATTTATTTCCACCACTTTCTCCATTTTTTAAAATGTATTCAGCTGTTTATGCACGCGGTTTAGTCATTATCTCAGTTGCTCAACATTTGCCCATTTTCTTAGCCAGGCATCCACCCATCAGCAAGTATTTCTCTTTTCTGAATTAACTTACTGAATCACCGTGAATTACAAAGTTACAGAGTTATTCAGGATTGAGTTCCAGCGGTAGAGTGTTTGAGCACCAACCCTTTCTTCAGTGTCCATTTTCTTCCACCAGTGTCCCCAGTTCACCTCCTGCCCCCCACCCTGCCACTCTGGCACTCTTTTTTCCCCTTTTTCTTTTTCGTTTTAAGCACTGTAGTTTACAATGCTATTACTGTTAGGGTATCAGGCATATGGCTTTACCTCCTCTCAGAACTCATCCTGGTCCAGAGTGGTAGTTTCCCCTCTCTCATTGTTGTTGTGATTTTTTTTTGCCTGACTTCCTCCATTCCCCAGGATGGCAAGCTTCCTACTAAGGACTCCTTCTGCACCCCCCTCTTTTTTTAGTACCCTTAGGCATTAGTTACTCCAATACAATGTATCCTTATAGCTGGAAAATTAGTGAGATCATTCTTTGCCCCCTCCCCCCCCCCCCCCGAGCTCATTTCACTCAGCATGATACTCTCCAGATTGATCCATGTAATAGCAAGTTTCATGACTTCATCTTTTCTAATGTCTGTGTGGTATTCCATAGTGTATATGGACCATAGCTTCTTTACCAAGTTACCTGTTTTGGGGTGCTTGGCTTGTTTTGCATATCTTGGCAATTGTGAATAGTGCTGCAGTGAACATAGAAGTGCAAATGTCTTTTCTGTATTATGATATTTCATCTCTTAGGGTATGTGCCCAGAAGTGAAATTGCTGAGTCACACGCAAGCTCAATTCCTAGTACTTAGAGAATTGTCCATATTATCTTCCGAAAAGGCTGGACCAGTTTTAATTTCTACCAGCAGTGCAAGAGGGTCCCTCTCCTTCCCACCCCCACTGCCTCACTTCCACACCAACACTGGTTGTTGTTTTTCTTATGCTTTATGATAATCATCAGTCTCTTTTGTGTGAGGTGATATCTCGTTGTTTTGATTTGCATTTCCCTGATAACTAGTGATATAGAGTATTTTTCATATGTCTTTTGGCCGTTCATATTTCTTCATTGAGGATTTTTCTATTCATCTCTTCCCCCATTTTGTGATCGGGTTGGATATTTTTTGTTATTGTAGTGTTCTACTAATGCTTTATCTATCTTTTAATATTAATCCTTTGTCGGATGGTGTGCAAATAATTTCTCCCAGCCTGTGAACTGTCTTTGTATTCGTTTACTTTGAGGTGCAGAAATGTCTGAATTTAGCGTGGTTCTATATATCTTTACATACACTTGCTTGGGGGCTGGAGCGATAGCACAGCAGGTAAGGCGTTTGCCTTGCATGTGACCAACCGAGTTTGATTCCTCTGCCCCCCTCTCTGAGAGCCCTGCAAGCTACTGAGAGTGTCTTGCCCCCGTGGCAAATTATGGCAAGCTCCCTGTGATATATTCGGTATGCCAAAAACGTAATTAACAAGTCTCATAATTTGTTGTGAGATGTTACTGGTGCCCTCTCGAGCAAATAGATGAACAACGGGAGAACAGTGCTACAGTCCTATACTTGCTTGAAAAGTGAAGTTTCATCCTTTAAGATGCCGCTAGCTTCAATGTCATAGAAAGTTCTGTCTATGTTTTCCTCTATGTATTTTATGGATCCAGGCCTGATATCAAGGTCTTTAATCCATTTTGAATTGATTTTTGTGCATGGCAATAAATAGTGGTCTGGGTTTGTTTTTTCACATGTAACTGACCGGTTTTCCCATCCCCACTTGTTAAAGAGACTTTCTTTAATCCACTTCATAGTTCCTTTTGTAGTCTGGTGGTCCCTCTCTCTACTTCAGTTGTCACTTTCCTTCCAACTGCCAGGGAGATCTCTGGGGGAATCGTGTACAGGAGGGAGAGAACATCTTGCTGCTGATGGGTGGCCACCCACTGCTTCTTTTTACTTTTGTTGTCTTAATGTTAAAACTTTATTACGCAAAGCTTGATTTACAAAGTTATTTGTAATAACAGTTGCTAAAGGAATTCAGTGTTCCAACACTAATCCCACCACCGTGTGCCCTTTTCTTCATCAGCGTCCCCAATCACAACCCCCCCCCCCCCCCACACACACACACACACACACACAAGCCAGCCCCCTTAGTAGGCACAAAGTAATTTACTTTATATTGCTTGGTACAACATATATCTCATAACGGAGTTACCAAAGTCATTGTCAGAAAATTGTCTTAGCTATTAGTTGCCACTTGAGCCTTTTGTTATTGTTTGTGCTCATTGAGCTTAGTGGGCTCCTACACAACTTTCCTCCATAATTTGCTCTGCTCCTACTGGGTTGTAAGTACTGTGAAATTGGGAGATGTTTAGTAGCTTTGCAGAAGGGATGATTCAGTAGCATGGTGCCTCAGTTGGCCCATTTATATGCTGGCAGAAGTCAGGTGTGGGTGGAGCAATGGGCCTTTCTGCAGGCCCAGCTCCTATCTAGAGAAGACTCCAGAGATCTAGATGTGGTCACTGACTGGGCCTCTCTTGGCTGATTCAACTGCAGCATCTCTTCAAGGTCAGTTCAGCTGGACTGTTCATATGTTGTTGTAGGTTGGGTGTGGGTGGAGCATTGGGTTGTTCAGCAGGGCAGGGACCCAGCCTGTCCCCACAGAGATCTGGGCCTAGAGATCTTGCAAACCTGGGCTCATTCAGAGGTAGTTTATTTTTCTGAAACTGTAGCTTCTCACCTGAGGTAAGAGCCAGGTTCTATGCTCTCAGCTCCAGCCATGGGGGCTTTCCAGTCACACCCTGGGGCTATGGAGGAACAAGCAGTCTGGGGGGGGGGGTGGCTTTGGAAATCACAGCAAGTAGAAAAGTTACAAAGCTTACAGGTTAAAGTTTCAGTCATACAATGATCAAACAACCATCCCTTCACCAGTGAATATTTTCCACCACCAAGAACCCCAATATACACCCCCATCCCACCCCTCCCGATGCCTGTGAGGCAGATGATTTCCACTTAATTCTCTTTCTACTTTGATTACATTCATTTTTTCGATAAAAGATGCACCATTATTATTTGGAATTTCCCTCCAACAATAAGACCTGCTGAAAAGGCATTGTGAAATAATTTTTTTCTATTGCTGGTTATGAAGACCATAATGATGATTTTGGATTTCTGATATTTTACTAATTAAGTCTGGAGGGATTTCTTCCCAAAGCCGCGTAGTTGTTACTGTGTTTGGCATATCGAATACTCTCGGTAGCTTGCCGGGCTCTCTGAGAGGGGCGGAGGAATCGAACTCGGGTCGGCCATGTTGGCCGCTTGTAAGGCGAACGCCCTACCCCTGTGCTATCGCTCCAGCCGCGTAGTTACAAGATTGGTTTGTGTGCCTCTGGGGCCATGGCCGCTCGTGGTGGGTAACTCTCTGCCTCGGTGGGGCAGGAAGCACAGCAAGTATTTTTTAAACTCTACTGTATACTCTGGGGTGGGAGTGAGGCAGTTAAAAGAATCTTCTTAAAATAGTCCACTTGAGGGCCAGAGCAACAGTGCATCAGGTAAGGGGCACTTGTCTTGCATGTGGCTAAACCAGGTTCTATCCCTGGCATCTAATATAGTTCTTGAGGCCTGCCAGGAGTGAGCACAGAGCCTGAGCACAGAGCCAGGAATAGCACTGGAGCATCTCTGGGTATGAACCAAAAAAATTTAAGTCTACTTGAATGACTTTTTAAAATTTGTAGTTATGAATAAACTATGTTGTAAATATGTGTGAAGTTTATGTAATAGTTTGATTATCATTACTTCTTAATGAAAGTCCCCCAAATAACAAATATTCTTTTCACCCAAGTCAATGCCATTATAAAAATTATGGGGCCTGAGCAATAGTCCAGTGGGGCATTGCATTTGCCTTGCATGCGGCTGACCCGGGTTCGATTCCCAGCATCCCATATGGTCCTCGAGCACCGCCATAAGTAATTCCTGAGTGCAGAGCCACGAGTAACCTCTGACTATTGCTGAGTGTGACCCAAAGGAAGCAAAATTAATTAAATTAAACTTTAAAAATACTTATACATGGACTAGAGCAATAGCATAGCAGATAGGGCGTTTGTCTTGCACGCGGCCAACCCGGCCAACCCGAATTTGATTCGTCCGCCCCTCTCAGAGAGCCTGGCAAGCTACCGAGAGTATCTGGCCCGCATGACAAAGCCTAGCAAACTACTGTGACATATTTGATATGCCAAACACAGTAACAACAAGTCTCACAATGGAGATGTTATTGAATCCCCTCGAGCAAATCAATGAACAACAGGAGGACAGTGCTACAGTGTGGTTTACTTATCATATAGGAAACATCATTTTGAAGATAAATTCGCAAATTTTCCTTAGAATCAAATTCTTCATGTATTGTGATTAGTCATTCTTTAATCTCTAGATGCTTGTATTTACTCACTCAGGAATTTTTGAATGTTGGGGGGAAAATAGTATGATTCATCATCACATTTTTAAAATGTATGCACAAATTGTTCTTATGTAATTTTTCAGTTGTTGGAATTAAAATTGATATAAACTCCTGGATCGAGAATTTCACCAAAACATCAATCCGGGACCCGGTAAGATAAATTTTTTAATTTCTATACTACATTTAAGAAGTTTAGAATTTCAAAGAGGTAAATTTAAAATATTATATAGTTATAAAATCAAATTATGAACCATCTTGAAGAAAAAAAATCCCTGCTTTTTTTTCAAAGGTTAATTTGTTTGAAAATACTTTCGAATTTTAAATATAAAACTGTATTTTTAACTAGAATGTCATTTAATCTTTCACGGTATCTAATACACTTATTTTCATTTATAACAGTTATTTAATATTATTAAAACTTAAGTTTTAAAATATATGTGTCTGATAATAATTTTATTTCTTTTAGTGTGCTGGTCCAGTTTGTGACTGCAAAAGAAACAGTGATGTAAGAAAACTCTCATATATCTTTATATAGATAGATATTCTTAACCATTTTTATCTAGGATTTATAATATTGTTAATCATATGTTTCATGCATTCATCATTCCAGTAACACACGTATCACCTATCTGCTTCCATCCATGAGTGTCCCATGGTCCCCTCCCAATCCATCCTCACATACAAACTAAATTCAATAGATAAAAAAGCTCAGTATACTGAAATTCCAAAGACTTGACCACTTGTTGTTCCCTTTCTATGTTTCTTCCTTATTCTTATTCTATATATGGGATTTTGGGGGGAGGGGAGGAATAAGTTATATTTATTTTCCTTTGATTTATAATTTTGAGAAATTTTAGAAGATTAGCTCCAATTAAAATGTCTTTCAACTATATTTTTTTCTTGTATGGCTCTTGGTAAAAATAAAGATGAAGGAATTGGGGGGCCACATGGATAGCACAGCATCAGACCAACTCAGGTTTAATTGCTGGCATGGGGTTAAGTGAGTGCCACCAGGAGAGATCCCTGAGTGCAGAGCCAGGAGTCCTGAACATTGTTGGGTGTGACCAGAACAAAATAAAACCAAAAAAGAAAATTTAAGTATCTTAACTAAAAAATTTTTCTATGAAATTGTGAACTCATAGATGAGAATTTGCATTTTATGATTTTAATTCCTAAGTTTAAATACTTCCGTTTTTTAAAATATTAATATATTATGGGAAGATATAAAAATCCATGTCAAATATCTGTATTATTTTCAGTCTCAAGTGTGTTAGATATTATATACACATTCATATTTTTGCTCTATTTGGGGCTGGAGCGATAGCACAGCAGTAGGGCATTTGCCTTACAAAAGGCCAACATGGCCAACCCGAGTTCGATTCCTCCACTCCTCTCGGAAAGCCCGGCAAGCTACCGAGAGTATCTCGCCCGCACGACAGAGCCTGGCAAGCTACCCGTGATGTATCCGATATGCCAAACACAGTAACAACAAGTCTCATGATGGAGACGTTACTGGGCTCACTTGAGCAAATCGATGAACAACGGGAGGACTGTGACCATGACCATTGGGGGGTGGGAACTTTCTAAAAGAAGTTTCTAAAAAAAGATGCCTTAGGTCATCTATGCCTTCTTCCCTTGTTTTTTGTCATTTTGATCTCACTGAGCTAACATTGATGAAAATTTTAAGTTAAACCTGGGAATTATATAATATAAATTTCACTTATCTGGATTAGATTTTGCATTGACTTTTATTATTTTTTTTTGTTAAATTGAAAACTTTAAAAGCTGAAAGTGCTTTATGAATGAAATTAAATGTCAGTAAATTATTCCAAAAATGAATAAGAATGACAGCCTATTTTCTTCTAGACTGCTGTGTGTGTCATAAATTTGAGGAGCAGGAGATTCATTATACCTTTGTATTCTATTTCTGCAAAACTATAAGTCACTTATTTAAATTATTTTGATAACATTCATTTTACAGAAATTTGTCATTTTTATTTGGGTATTGGGACTATACTCTGTGGAGGGCCAGGAATTGAACTAGTGTGTGCTGCATACAAGATGAGCACCTAAGTTCCTGAACCGTCTTATCCTTCTAGCCCAGACTATATTTTTAAAGGAAAAAGTTTCTGTATTTTTGTAGAAACTTGCTTCTGTATTACGAATAAAGAATGTATATGTCCCCAATTGTAAAAAAAAATGATTTTGTGGCTGGAACAATAGCACACCAGGTAGGGTGTTTGCCTTGCATGCAGCCGACGTGGGTTCTAGTCTTCCTTCCCTGTCAGAGAGCCTGGCAAGCTAACGAGAGTATCCCGCCCACACAGCAGAGCCTGGCAAGCTCCCTGTGGCGTATTTGAATGCCAAAATCAGTAACAAGAAGTCTCACAATGGAGATGTTACTGGTGCCCACTCGAGCAAATCGATGAACAACGGAAGGGCAGTGCAGTGCAACAATAAAAATGATAAAGGTTTATTTACTTGGGGACTGGAGTAATAGTACAAACAAGTAGGGCATTTGCCTTGCACGCAGCCGATCCAGGTTCGATCCCCAGCATTCCATATGGTTCCCCACCACCGCCAGGAGTAATTTCTGAGTGCAGAGCCAGAAGTAACCCCTGAGCATCGCTGGGTGTGACCCAAAAAGAAAAAAAATATTTATTCGTTTATTTGGAGGATTTTCTTTTGCCAGGGGGCACACTCAACAGTGCTCAGGCATTACAACTGACTCTGAGCTCAAAGGTGGTGGTACACCTATAGGGTGCTGGGGAAGGAACCCAAGTGAACCACATGTAAAGCAGGTACCCTAATTGTGTACTAACACTCTGGCCCCAAAGATTTATTCTTTTAACCATGATCTACTAGATGGAAATTCATAATTATCTTTTCAGTAGTGTCTTTTGGAGGTTGAGGTGGGGGCTCCCAATAGATGTTCAGGGAGCTTGACAATCTCTCCTGGAGATTTTCAGGTAACCAGGCCTGTGATTTGGTGCAAAGGCCTGAGGACATAGTGCTAATACCACCTTGCTATGCCGTGCATTACCCAGGTCCTCTATGGCCACGCCTGCTGTGCCTCTAGGTCCAAACCCATCAATATTTTAGAATGGGCATTGTGATGCCTGCAGTCAAACCAGGGTTTGCTACCTGCAAGGTGTACACTTTAAACCCTATACTGTTTTGCCAGCCTCAGTCATGTGTACTTTCCCTCTTTTGATCTCTGCTTTTATTTTGTTATTTTGGGGCCACTCCTGGCAGTGCTCAGTAAATCATATTGGGTGCTGAGGATTGAACCCAGGTGAGACATTTGCCAGGCAAACACTTTACTTGCTGTAATATCTCTCCAGTCCCTACCTTCTAATATCAAATCACCCAAACACTTTTAATATAAAATAGTTATATTCTCATGCTGTCTTTTTAAAACTATGAGCTGAAGGGATAAAACTGCTGTCAAAGAATAGTCTTTCTTTGTTTCTATGTTTTAAAAATAATTATTAAATCATATTTTCTGGATAATTAGGTGATCTTGGAGTGCAAGACATTATTTCTGATTTTACTTTATGAATTGTTCATAGTGTTGTTATCCTTAATTGGACTGAATGTGGTAGAATACTAAGCCCTAGGCTTAGATACATAAATGCACTTAGTTCATCAGATTCTCCTGACGGCAGTGATCAAAAGAAAACACAGCATTTGGATTTTTTTTCCTGTTTTTGTTCGTATAGCTATATCAAGCAATTGTAATGCAACCAATGTCATATCCTCTCCATAACTGTGCCTTTATTTTTTTATAGGTAATGGATTGTGTGATTTTAGATGATGGTGGATTTCTTTTGATGGCAAATCATGATGAATACACTAACCAGGTATGTAGTTACGAGTAGAAAAGGAGGAGGATCTCCTACCTAGTGGGAAAGATAGGGATAAAGACATCTCTTTATCCCTGATCAACATTATAAAACTCCTTCACCATTATATAAATTGATGGATTGCTTTATTTCTGTCATAAAATATGAACATATTGATATAATAGAAGTTATCTCGCCCGAATGGCAAAGCCTGGCAAGCTACCCATGATGTATTCAATATGCCAAACACAGTAACAACATGTCTCACAATGGAGATGTTACTGGGCCCGCTTCAGCAAATCAATGAACAACGGGAGGACAGTGCTACAGTGCTATTAAGAAAGCCACTCAGTGCCTCTTTTGCAAACCACAGCACCCAAAGGAGAGAGAGAACAAAAGGGAATGCCCTGCCACAGAGGTGGGATGGGGGTGCCAGGGAAGTAAAAGGGATACTGGGATCATTAGTGGTGGAGAATGGGCACTGGTGGAGGGGTGGGTACTCTATCATTGTAAACTGAAACCCGAGCACAAAAATTTGTAAGTCTACAACTGTACCTCATGGTGTTTCACTAATAAAAATTTAAAAAGGAAGAAAGAAATGCTTAAATTTTGAATATATTGATACAATGGAAATTAGTAAGAAATTTCCCCTGTCTCATTTTGTTTATTCACTTGACTGCTATGTTACCAGTAAAATATAATTGAAGCATTTTAATATGTTGTGAGCTTTTAAATGGGTTGGGGGCTCCCCAGTGGTGCTCAGAAATGGATAGAGAGCTCAGGGGTTTGGAGGGCCAGACTTGTATACACTAGGACCTGGATTTGAACTCTAGCACTCCATGAACTCCAGCACTTCTGGGGTAGTAGGACCTTTTAAGTTTGGATCTCTTAAAAGTTAAAAATTTTCCATTAAAAAAATTTATTGATTGATGAAGAGTCTTATATGGCTATTTTGAAATTGATAAATGTAATTCCCAATTTGTTTGTGAATTAGCAGCATATGGGCCACAGGATCTTATGCAAATTTGTGGTGGCCCAGTAACATAATTTTTCAATCAGCATTTTCTGGTTCTCTTACAAATATAAAAGAATAAACACTAACATTTTTCCTAACCGACCCATGTTTATGAACTAGAATTGATTAGTTGGAGATGCCTCTTTTAAAACCTGGTCACTCCAGTTGATACAGTCTTTAGAAGTTTATTTTTCTCTCAATTTCTTTTTTCTAAAAGATATTTGTTTGAGAATTTAGAGCTTAGGAGACTGGTCATTCCTTTCACAAATAAGCAGCAAAATCACTGAGTAACAAGTATATCTAAGTTCACTTGAGTTCTTCTGAACTTCTTTATCTATTGAAACATATTCCTTATTTTGGCTTTTAAGCTCCTATACAGTTCTAATGCATTGTCTTCATTTTATTTTTCCATTCTACTGGCTCTGGTATTAATGTTTGGTTTGAATTTGAGCTTTCTTTTTCTCTACCAGATTGGAAGATTTTTTGGAGAGATTGATCCAAGCTTGATGAGACACTTGATTAATATATCAGTTTATGCTTTTAACAAATCCTATGACTATCAGTCAGTGTGTGAGCCTGGAGCTGCGCCGAAGCAAGGAGCAGGGCATCGCTCAGCATATGTGGTAGGTATTCTCCTAGTCATCCATTCCTCACAAGGTACCCTCACTGGAGACTAGTGGAGTGACTCTTGGTTCTGTTTTGCAGCCATCAATAGCAGACATACTGCACATTGGCTGGTGGGCCACTGCTGCTGCCTGGTAAGTCAACATGGACATTTTACTGGTAATGAGGAAGTGCACTGTAAAATAAAAAAGCATTTGCTAAAAATAAGTTTTCTGACCCATGCATTGTAATTCAAGCTGGAGCAATAGCACAGTGGGTAGGGCATTTGCCTTGCACCCCGCCCAGCTGATCCATGTTCGATTTCTCCTCCCCTCTCGGAGAGCCTGGCAAGCTACCGAGAGTATCTCACCCGCACATCAAAGCCTGGCAAGCTACGCATGGCACATTCGATATGCCAAACACAGTAACAAGTGTCACAATGGAGATGTTACTGGGGCCGCTCAAGCAAATCGATGAACAATGGGAGGACAGTGACATTGAAATTCAGTGACTTTTTCATTTCTATGCAGTAGATTTAAACCTTTTTTTTATTATTATCCTTCTTAAACACTTAGTCATTTTTTCTTTTTCTGTTTTGTTTTGTTTTGTTTTGCCCTTGGGCCACACCCAGCAGTTCTGAGTTTCCTCCTGGCTCTGTGCTCAGGGATCACTCCTGGAAGGCTTAGGGAGTTAAAGGGAATTCTGGGGATCAAATTCAGGTCATCTACATATAAAGCAAGTACTGTGCACATGGTACTATTGCTCAGGCCCAAATTAGTCCCTTTTTATAGCAGATATTTTTTGTAAACAATGATTTACTCATGGACTGGAGATACACACAGCAGGTACGGAGCTTACCTTGTGCACAGCCAAACCTACCTCGATCTGTAGCACTACATATGGTCTTCCAGGAATGACCTCTGAGCATACTGCCAGGAGTAAGCCCTGAGCACCACTGGCTATGAATTATAACTTCACACACACACACACACACACACACAAAAAAAAAAAAAAACCTACAATATGCTCCTGCAAATATCATCCACTTTAGAAGCTTTTTTTGTTTTCATTTAAGACCAGTTCTTTATATTTAGATAGACTGATTCACCAAAAGTTCCTAATTATTTCTTTCAGTATCGAATTATATGTCTTCTGACTTACTGCCTTTTTACTATTATTGCCAATAGTTGGTGTCATTATAAGGCATCATGTTGCTGGAATGGATCTAGTTGCTTATTTTCACGCTTTCCACCCTCCATGTCTTCTTCACTCTCCTTAAGCTTGACACTTTTGAAAATAAGGCATTTAAGCCATTCAAGGCGCTGTGGAAAGTATAAAAGATCAAATTTGTCATTGTTTATTTCAAGTGATTCTAGTAACTAACAACTTATTGTGACTGGGATCAGTCTTCCTCTCTCTGCCTTCTCTCCTTTCTGTTTTCTTTTGTATCATTACTTTGGTATATTTTCCAAGAGCCATTCCAGGTAGATAAAAATTATTAACATTTATTTGGTATTGGGTGTTCCCAGATGAAATTCACTCATGATGCTATTTTATTGAAATAAAGATTTTATATTAAGAATCCTACTTTTTATGGAAAAGGCACAATAGCAAATAGTACTTTCTGGTATGACAGTGGTATATTTATATAGACTTTGTAAGTCTCATATTGATACTGAAGTATTTGATATTTGTTTGCATTTTTTTCTGGTCAAAGCCTAAATTTTGCGCACACACTCCCTCCACTTTTTTTTTAATTATTATTAGTGAGACACCATGAGGTACAGTTGTAGACTTACAAATTTTTATGCTTCGGTTTCAGTTATACAATGATCAAATACCCATCCCTTCACCAGTGCCCATTTTCCACCACCATGGGTCCCAGTATCCCTCCCACCCCCCCACCCCCCACCCCCATCCCACTCTGACTCTGTGGCAGGGCATTCCCTTATCCACTTTTATTTTTTAATACTAAACTCAGTTCCAGATGATTCCATGCTGCTTGGCTCCCTCATCACTTATAAACGTGCCACATATATACTATGTGTAATATGGATATTTTATTTCATATTTAAACATGAGTTTTATAAGCAAATAGCTCACAGATCCACAGTACAAAATCAGTTTTTCTGTTTACCCCATACACACAAAAATTTAGCTGAAATAAGGAGAAAATCCTGACTGTAAGGCCTATTCAGCAAAATACATTCTTCTTAAAGTTACATCTTCTCATTTTTGTATCTGCAAAAATGTGTGCACCTTATTTGGTCCATAATAATAACTTTCCTGTGACCTCTCTCTGCACAAAAATGCAATGTTTTGTTATTTTTTTAAAGATATAAATGTTATTCTCCTAAGCTTTCTATTATCAAATTCAAAACTTTTCCAAATTCTTATTTAAAAAAGGAAAAAACATGTTTACATATACATGTAAAGATACTCAGAATTTTATTGTACGATTTAAAAGGAAAACATCTCTTTATATCAATAATGATCCATATTTAAATTTAGGTCTATTCTACAGCAGTTTCTTTTGAGTTTGAGCTTTCCACGACTCCTCGAAGCAGGTATGTACTCCTTGACATTGGTATTGCTTCAATAGAAAATAATATTTTATTTTGGGGGAGTGCTGAGTACAGCAGACACAGAAATTGTGTGTATAAGGGGACAGGGAGAGAGAGTTACCTTTATCTGCTGTCATTTCTGTTGGTTGAAATCTTTATCAGAACTTTCTCAAACTTTGGAAACTTTCTTAGGTCACATTGTTGTCTATTTTGTATTTGTCTGGGCTGTATACTATAATATACAGAAGTAAACTAGCCATCTCAAACTTTAGAAACTTTTCATAGGTCACATTGCCTCTATTTTCTACTTGTTGGGACTGTATACTATAATTTACAGTAGTAAACAAGCCATCAAGGCACCTGTCCTCATATAATTGTTTTGTTCTGTGACAATTAAAAACTTAGGGAAGCTAGCTAGCTACTGTGTCTCCTCACAATGGAGGTCTTTGTTTTGACTCTCCACAGCTGACATGGAAGAGGAGGATTTTACAGCCTCTCTGTCGAAACAGAGCTGTATTACTGAACAAACCCAATATTTCTTTGACAATGATAGTAAATCATTCAGCGGTGTACTTGACTGTGGAAACTGTTCCAGGTAATTTTGTTTCTTCATTGCTATTTCACTAAGAAATTATATTCACTTCTATTACAGATGTGTCTCAACAAGCTTTTAATACTTTTAATTTATTAATAAAACTAAATAATATATAAGATACACTAGATATGTGAGTAAATCCATAGTTATTTAGATGTATTAGTAATGTTAAGATATTTCTGTAGTATTCCATGTAGGTAAGATTTTTCTGCATATGACAATTTAACAGGTTTTAAAAAATCAAGAATTTCTGGTGTGTTTTTTTTCCAAGTTTTTTCTAGCATTTATAACTGATTGTATCTTTTATTTGTAACTGGAGAAATGAGAAAGAATTCCCTATGGTTAATCAGTACCCACAAAGCATCATCTTGAAATGTTTTGGGAAACCATTGGATATTTATGTTGGTTGTAATAAAATATAAGAGGAAGACAAGGTGGAAGGTTTGAAGTTTCTCTAAAAAGAATGATAATCCATGACATGGGATACCTGAGAACGGAGCTGAAAGTCACAGTTTATGAGGCACATAGTTGGAACATTTTATTTTAAAAGACTGTGGGTAGATTATTTGAGGAAAAAATGTTAACAGAAATGTAAAAATATTAGGAGGTGAGGTAATCTGAGCTTGTGTAATATCTGGAATAATTGCTTGAGATTCAGAAAGAAAAAATGTTTGGGATACTTTCAAGAGAGGATTAACCAGTATGATTTTTTAATAGACAAGGTCAGTATGCTTTTATAACATACTTTAGCAAATCTCTCTGTCCTACAAACTAGAGAGGATCGTGAGTGGGAATGGAAGGAGTTAGGGATAACAAAAGGAAAAGCAGACCATTCTTTCTAGAGATTAACAAATCATTATTGGAACTTCACAAAACATAATTGTGGCATGTACAGTGAATACAGTGAATACAACAGCAAGAAATAATATTAGATTTCATTGGTTTATCATTCATTGATGCCCACTTAGTAGCATTATGCACTTAAATCTAAGTTAAATGATAAAGACCAATATAATAAAAATGTGAAGTTGAATCAAGTTTTTTTCATTTGCTTTATGCTTGTGTTCAAACATCAATAGAGAAAATGAAAGAATTAGAAAAATATATCATCAGAGAATTACTTTTCATGAAATTTACAGATTTGTTTTGGGTGTAAAGGAGGACTCTAGAACTTACATTGCAGGGGGCTGGAGTGATAGCACAGCGGGTAGGGCATTTGTCTTTCATACGGCTGACCTGGGTTTGGTTACCAGCATCCCATATAGTCCCCTGAGCACTGCCAGGAGTAATTCCTGAGTGCATGAGCCAGGAGTAACACCTGTGCATTGCCTGGTGTGATCCAAAAATAAAAAAAAAAAAAGAACTTACATTGCAGGGCCAGATTGGGTAAGGTGCTCACCTTGCACATGGCCTACCCAGATTCAGTCCTGGCATCCCATATGATCCCCCAAGCACTCTAAGTAGAGTGCTTCCTGAGTGTAGAGCCAGGAGTAGCCACTGAGCAGTGCCTGGAGTGTGTGTGTGTGTGTGTGTATAGGGTCACGGGTGAGGAGCTGCGGGTGGAATTAACTAATTAACTAATTCCTTTGTTTTTATATGGAAAATAAGGGAATCTTGACATATTTTCAACATTAAAATACAGTTCCTGGGACTGGAGAGGTAGTACAACAGATAAGGTGCTTGCCTTGTCCAGAGCAAACCTGGCACCCTGTCTCATCTTCCGAGCCTACCAATAGTAATTCCTAAGTGCAGAGCCACAAGTAAACTCTGAATCTCTTGAGGTATACCCCATAAACAAACAACCAAAAAAGAAAACTAAGAAAACCCACAGTTCCTTAATAGTGAAATAAAAAAAAAATTTCTATATGTTTCAGCAACCTAGTGATTTTAAATTTAAAACTTCCATTACTCCTAAAACATCTATCACTTTGTTTTTGTAATTGAAGGAGATCATATGTTCATATTTAAAGATAAAGCATGATAATCTTTCTCAGATTTTCATGTTCTGTTTTGGTGCATTTTGTCTCAATATATGTTCTTAAAAGATTTTCCCCAGGTATTGTTCCTTTTCTGACTTGTTAATATTTGTTTTTCAGAATCTTTCATGTAGAAAAACTTATGAACACGAACTTAGTTTTCATAATGGTGGAAAGCAAAGGGACTTGTCCCTGTGACACTCGGCTTCTCATACAAGCAGAGCAGACTTGTATCCTTGATCCCAGATGTCTTCCGTAGAAAGCCAGTATCTTAAAGGATGTACTTCTAACCTTGCCGTGTTGTTCATTCTCAAAATGAAATATCATAAAGTGATATAGTTATTTCTCAGAGTCAAAATGCATTCATCCTGTAAAATATGGCTTGCTGTAAAAATGGAAAAAGTCTGCACATGAACCGAGGGACCATGAAAAGTTTCTTACTAACATAATGAGACTTTCTGGAGAAAGCAATGGAAGGTCATACAGGTAAATAAAAAAAAATGCATTGCAAGAGCACAGATGAGCAACTGAGTTGGATTTATGGTAGTCAGTAAGCAGAGAGTCATGATAGAGTTTTACCTATGCTGTTAGAATCTTTGTGGCTTTACTTTCTATTGATTGAATTTCTAGTGACTGAAAGAGGTAGAAAGTCTTATCTCTGTACTTGTTCCAGTGCAGAGCAGATGGAAAAAGAATGATGTCACTCTAAAGCTTTCAACAGCCTCTTAGAAATTGGAAATGGATATTGTACATATCTACAATGGAAGTTTATTAAACCATAATAAATAAGGAATTCTTCTAACACACTGCAACTGCACTAAGCAGCACTTAAACTACTTCTGATGGCAGATATGGTCAATGACAGTGCAGTTGTTGCTGAAGCTTTGGAAACTGTGTTATGTAGAGTGTCTTTATTGATTTTATTTTATCTGTCCTTATTTTTCCTTTAAAATGACATTCCTGGAGTTGGAGAGATTGTGCAATATGTAAGGTAGTTGCTTTGAACACAGTCGATCTTGTTGGATCCCCTGAACCCACCCGTAGAGATCCCTGAACACAGAGCGAGGAGTAAGCTCTGAGCATTGCCTGATGTGACCAAAAAAAATTACAAAACCAAAATACAAGATTTATTTCTACCTTACTAAATAAGGGTTGTACACTCTCATAGACTCCAGTTTACATATATGCCTCTCTCTTACATCTACATCATTTATACATTTCAGCCACTTATATTCTCCACATTTGTATTGTCTAGTTGATGTTTGATAGTGACTATGCTACTTATGAGCCCTTTACATAACACAGTCTGAGAAGAGAAAAATTTGTGTCCAACTTTGTTTCTTCTTTATATTAATAAACGTTTAGTGGTGGTGTACTACAATAATAACATAAGTATCTCTTGTTTGCTTTAGAAATAAGCATATTACAGCATTTTTTAATGTGTGAAAGAAGAAAAATAAATTCATATTCCTTAACAAGTTCTTTTAGCTGATGGTCCAGATCCTTGTGACATGGTTAAGCAGCCCAGATATCGAAAAGGGCCTGATGTCTGCTTTGATAACAATGTTCTGGTAAGACCAAATGCTTGCTGTATTAAAATTCTGTAATTCAGTAATCATTGTATAAAATGATTTAAGGATGCAAATAATTATTTTAGCTTTAACATAATGTGTAATGATTTTGTTCCCTGATAGTCTTGCTGTCATATTTTCTTATTTCAATATTTAAGTTAAGCATAGCAAGATTAAGTTAAACATAATCTTAATAGCTAGCTGCTTTCTGTCCTTCCAAAGGAAACTGTACATACAAACACAATTTCAGTCAATTTATTAATAATCCAAGATCACAAACTGCATAATCTCTAATAAATTATAACTTACATTAAGTATTACTTATCCCACATGAGAACACTACTTTCATTTAAATGCAATTTCTGAGATCTGAAGAGGTATTATAGTGGCGGAGTGCTTGCCCTGTACCACCTGCCTCAGGGACCCAGGTTCAATTCTTGACACCACATATCATCCCCAGAGGACACCAGGAGTAAATTCTGAGCAAGTCAGTGTGCTTCCCCCTAAAAAATTATTCCTTTTAATTTCAATTCTGAACATATAAATTATTTTATTATATTTTATTTGTTAGTATAGTATACTTTAAAACCCATTAACAGCTACTTTCTTGTTTCTTTATGATTAAATTTATTTTAAAACTTGGTTTTTTGACAGAAATGGTGCAATACTACGGGGGGGGTGGTATGGTGCTTGTCTTGCACATGGCTGACCTGAGTTCAATCCCCAGCACTTCATGTAGTCCCCTGAGAACAGACCCAGGAGTAAGACCTGAACACGGCTGGTTGTGACACTTTTGGGGGACACACCATGATGCTCAAGGGTGCTCCAGTACAGTACTAGGGTTTGAAACCTGGCCTCTCCTCACAGATACCATGTGCTATCTAGTCTTTTGAGCCATCTCCCAGACACTCTGCTCGCTGTTTCTATTAACTTTCTGAGTTTTCAAGATTTTTTGTGTCCTAATGAACACACAAATATCACCTGTTCAAATTATTTATTCTAAAGACATGTCAGATCAGTTATTCACTTTTGAAAATTTATTTTAATGTACACAAAAGCCACAGCGGTTGATAAAATTCTTGAGTTTAAATTGATAAAGCTCCAGTATTAAAATCAGTAAGTGTAATCACCAAGAGAATAGGGAATCTCCTGGCTCTCTCTCACGGCCTATGTTCAATGGTCTTGCACCACTTCCCCACCCAGGACGGCCGATGCCATGAGCAGACAAAGGAGGAAACAAGGGCCAGACTGATTGGTGATCAGTTGCCGTTTATTCCATTCTCCCCACGTGCCAGTTCCAATCTCACTAACCCTCATTCCCATCTCCTCCTGTCCCCCTCACTCATCATTCCTCGCTTTGACCTCACTTCTCTAGTCTCTCGTCAACTGCAAGTTTTGGGAGTAGCAACCACACACCCAGGTCCAGTACCACAATCAACATATAAAAATCCTTCCTGATCGCCTGTAGCTAGGGAATCAGGCTCAAGGGCAAAATGCCATTTAGGGGTGTTTCTGCTCTCCTTAGTCTAATAACTTAATTAACATCTTAATTCTACTTACTAATATTAGTTATTTTGTATGGACACAGTAAAAGATACATTGAGCTTGTGGGGTGGCTCTTCTGGGGACCTCTCGCTATAGATCTCAGACTACAGTGCTCAGGCCAGATTAATCATTCCTAACCCTAGCAGAGTCCTAATCTAGTTGTTACTTCTTGAATCATGACAGAATTTGTCCATGCCCATGCTCTTAACTTATAGTTAAGTATTATGGCACTTTGGCCTGGCCCATTTTGATGCCAGGGTAGCTCACAGCTTGCCCTGGGTCCATCCAGTCTCTGCATTGGGGATGCTAGGAAGTAAGGGCAACTGAGGCTTAAGTCAAGAAAACAGATGCCCACAAGTGAATATTATTTGGAGTCAATTAACTCCCAAGTTACTTTGCTCTGAATTAACTATGCAAAGGACTTAAGGAAAAGAGAAAAGCAATATTTACAAGTCAAAAGAGTCTGATTAGGGATAAAGGTGATTGACCAGTTGGAGAAGCACAAAGAAAGAGGTTACAGAGGAATGTGAGCACTATGATAGGAGTAACCCAATAAACCTAAGCTCCCTGTGGCAAGGCAGAAAGCACAAACCATTGTTTTCACACAGTACGTATACATGTTTTAAAAGATCACTTTTTATGTGAAAAGTGTTGTATCTCATCACAGGGTAGTTAAATCCTTGTCAAGAATTTACTAAACTGCTTGTTGTGCTTAGTTGGCGTCTGTGTTACTCTCCCATCTGATTTGGCATACTCTTACTAGAATTTCAGTATTGAGGAATTAGGAGGTTTCATACTGCCTAGCAGTCCAGAAACTTCAAGAGCTATGGTCTGGGTCAATGAGTTGACATGGCAGAAGCTGTGTGGTGGGAAGAGACTGCCCTCCCTGACTCTGCAAAGATGCCAGAGTTCTGGTCTAGGCACCAGGGTACCAAAATGATTCAGTTTGGCATCTTTGCAGAGAATATTCATGAAGTAGTAGAGTTGACCCTTGGAGTGGCTGCAACATTGGGGTGTGGGTATGGCTGACAGGATGGGTACTCCACCCATCCATCTCCGGAGGGCATACCAGAGTTCTCAGCTGTGGGGGACCAATATTTCCATGTATTTTAGTTGCTTGGCGTGCATCTCTTCAGAGATTTAGTCATGAATCTCTAGAGCTGTGGGTGAGTCATCATGTCAGCAGCTATGTCCATTTATTTATTCTGTAAAGATTGAGCTGGATCAATAGCACAGCGGGTAGGGCGTTTGCCTTGCACGAGGCCCATGCGGCCGACCCGAGTTTGATTCCTCCACCCCTCGAGCCCGGCAAGCTACCAAGAGTATCTCGCCCCCACTGCAAAGCCTGGCAAGCTACCCATGAGCTGTTCGATATGCCAAACACAATAACAACAAGTCTCACGATGGAGATGTTACTGGGCCCACTTGAGAAAAATCGATGAACGGGAGGACAGTGGACAGTGCAGTGCTACAGTGATGTAAGGCATCTCTAAAGTTTATATTTACTTAGAATAGACTTATCTAGTTTGTACTTAATAACTTAAATATCCGTAACCATGTCTGTCACATAATGAGTAAGATTTCCATACATACATGTTATGCAATTAGATAATATAAACTAGAACTGGAGCAGAGGATATGTAAAGATCATTACTGTGGAACGAGTCTATAAAAGCAATAGATGCTATAGCCAGTAAAACCCAAACTGATTCAACTTTAATGAGGAGAGTGATTCAAAGTTGGAGCCATTTTTTTCCCCCAATTTTGCTCAATGAGACTAAAATTCCAGATATAAAGGCTTACTCTATATACTATATTCAGGTGCTTTTTTCCATATCCAATAATTTCCCTTTCCATATCCAATAATTTCCCTCCCCAGAGTGGTGTCACTTATTAGGGAACTTCTTTAAATTATTTGTGGCTAGTTTTCAACAGTTTAAAGACACTGACTTCATTTGGATGAACTCTAAAATTCATAGAAAGAGCTCTAGAGATAGTTAAGGCTTTGTTTGCACTTAATCCCAGTTAAATTCCTGGTACCACATCACATGGTCTGTAAACTGCCAGGCATGGCTCCAACAAGAAAAAAAGTAATAATGAAAGATAAAATAAGAATCATATATAAACCATATTACCCAAATTGTTTTCACTCTAGGAGATTTTTTTTGATGAAGGCATTAAGTTATTTTACTAAGATTAAACATTCAGGACTCAGATTTATAAATTATACCTCAATCTGTATGTGAAAGTACAACTCTTGCTCAGTAGTTGAATGTTCTGATTATATCTTAAGCTTCTTTAGCCATAGCATGTTTGTTAGTGCTTACTTTCAATTGACACTATGTATCAGCTCTCCATAGAGGTTTCATATTAACTGCTGATTTGCCAGCAAGTTGCATGAAATCATCTTGTATGTTTTCTTTTTTTCTTGTGTGTTTTCTTTTCTTTTCCTGTACTTGCTCCTTTGGCCATAATTAATAGGATCTACTTGTATATGCAAAGATTCGTGCATGTACCATGATGTCAATTTCTATGTTCAGTTTACTACAAGGTTTCATGGGGTTTGGATGGTCAGTTACTTTCTCTAATCTTCCTTTTTTTTTCTTTATAGCTTGAATTTAAAAAAAAAAAGTTAATATCATTAATTCCACAAAATGAAGGTACTAAATGAAAACAAGTTATTAAAATATTAACAATGTTAGTGAATTTCAAGTGCTGCACATATTTCTGTTCTTAAGATCATACAAATGTCCTATATCAGCTTAAAATTGAAGTCATTCCAATTTAACAAACCTTGTTTATGAATCTTATATTTTGAATCACAAAGGTTAAATTAGTCAATCACTCATAATATCTAACTCCAGATAACTCCTATGATATTTACATAATCAGTTAAATTGAATAGGCCTTGGTTTGAGTTCAGGATTGTATTTACAGTACTCTGGAGTCATCATGATTTTTGCTTTCTTTCCTCATTGCTGCTCAGGTAGCCATTTGTTGATTTGGAAACCACTAGATGGAGATGTAGCCACTACTAAGAGTGAATTCATCAGGGTGGGGGGTGTGGGGGGGGCAGGGTGTGTGGAGTAGGCAGAGTCTCAGAAAATAACCAAATCTGTTCACAGTGAAAGATTCCAAGTGACAGAAACCTGGTGGATTTTACTAAAATAACAGATCTGTGGTGCAGCGAAAGTAGCAAAGCACATAGCTGGCATGTATGAGGTCCTGAGTTCAGTCACCAGCAAGAATGCCCCACCTCCTCCTAGCACAAGCCAGAGAACATTCTTGGAAGTTGCCCCTTTTAACCCATAATAGGTGAAAGTGAATAATCCTGGTCAGTGTTTTATTTTGACGAAATATATCTGAAAGAATTTTATTGTTTCCATAAGCAATATAATTAACATATTAATGGTATAGAAAATTTATTATTGTTATGCTTATATCTAATTGTGGTT